GAGACACCCTGTGCTCCCCTTAACAACTGCATCAGGGAGAGAAGGAGGGAGGTGATCACAAGGTTGCCTCACTTAATGACCGTCATGACTTGTAACTGTAATAGGCTCCATTATGGTCATCAGTCAAGAATTACCTGTAAAGAAGTCTTTCCTTTATCCGTTCTGAATCTCCTCACGTATAGATTCCATGGCTGATCCAAAGTATCTAACCTTTCTAAATTAATTTTTATTGAAGAAAAATTTCAAAATAAAATATTTAAAGGGGAAAAGAACGCAAGAGGAAAATGGTGAGGAAAAAAAATGAAAGAATAAGGAAAGAGAAACAGGTGGAATCATGAAAAAAATGCCTTCCGATCTTCTTTACAGCCGTTATAAATGCATTAAAATGTTCCTTTCTTTAAACTTGCATAACTCCCTTCTTTTAAATAATCTCTAATGTTGTAAAACATTCGTATTTGTAGTTTTAAACCGATTTAATAACATTGTTGCTATTTTATGCTCTTTTTTTATGACAGATTATTTATTAAAAGTGTTCAGTAAATAAAAAATAATCCAAAATGTTGGGAAAAAGCGAAATGGCTATAAATATCCGGGCTACTCTAGATATTGGAGCAGTAAAGATCTCTTTGCTGCCATCTACTGGCTGCATGAATTTATGCAGTTCAGATATTATATACTATAGCCTCATAGAAGTGGAATGGGGAAGGTACCTTTCACTTACCATTAAACAGTCAATCAAGTACATGCATTTTCTCCTGCTCATAGAAGTATGCATAAAAATAATTTCACACTTATCTAGGTAAGTGACATTTGCTGTTGCCATAGAGTCTGAATTTCTTCTTACTAGGTCTTTTAATCTCCCTGGAGGCAAAAATATCCAGGCTCAAATTACCTTACTTTGGACACATCATGCAAAGACACAGATCTCTGGAGAAGTCTACAATGCTGAGAAAGGTGGAAGAGAACTGCCAACAGCAAGGTGGCTGGTGTCAATTACTGTGACAATGAGACACTGTTGGAAAACTTAAGGGACCAAGTTGGGGACAGAGTCTCCTGGAGAAAACCTCATTGATGTGGTGGCTAAGAATTGATCTCCATAGTCCATCAAAAAAAAAAGCTCTCCAATTTAAGAAGCCTGCCAGCCCAGCAAAACACACTGCCCAAGTGCAATAATTCAAGAACTCCTAACAGCTGCAAGCACAGTGCATGGAGAGTTAATTGACCTATTTATTGCATATAATTGGGCACATTATTATAATTAAAGAAGCACTCCTTTTATGGGTTGCTATGCAGTTTTCCAGCCTTTAGGGTGGCTGTTGGGGGAAGAATGGGCAAACACGTAGAGAAGGAAACATTTTTGCTAGCTGATGTTCTCCCACTTGGCCTCCAGAAACAGAATATTAATATTATTACAGCTCTTGATGCTGTAATAAAGAAAAGGTAGTGGATTAATTTGAGAATCCTAAAATAGGAAGGTTTCTTTACATGCTCAATGAATCTCTTTTTATGTTTTAAGTATGTTATTATTCTTAGCTGCGCTAATGGCCCTTTAGAATGGGGGGAGAGAGACTATAAAAGTAATAAATATTTTATTTTGTATTTTTATCCCATGTCTATCAAGAGTTCAGGGTGCTTTACATAATAGAAACCCTGCATGGTAGTTCAGGCTGAAAGATAACAATTCTCTCAAGGTAGGAACAGAAACCCCAGGCATCTTGAGTTTTATAAGAATACTATTCCCATCCTAACCATGACCCCAAACCTACAAATTGAATCAAAACTAATCCATCCAAACTTGGTAGTGTTGTGGCTAAATGTCAGCGGTGTGATTTGGCATTTAAAAACTCAAAACTAAAGATAAATAGCACAAGCTTCTTGTTAATAGTCATCCACAGATTTGAAGTAAGACAGCATGGTTTTGTGTAAATCATGACGTGCCTTAACAGGTTGTTTTTCCAATTCAGCAACTTTTAAGATGTATGGATTTCAACTCCCAGAATTCTCGTCTATGGCATGCTGGCTGAGGAATTCTGGGGGTTGAAGTCCACCCATCTTTAAGTTGCCAAGGGGGAAAAACCCTGCCTTAGCACAATGCAAAAGGCTTGTTCAAGAGGCCATTGCTTAATGCAGGGGTAGGCAACCTTGGCTCTTTTATGACTCGTGGACTTCAACTCCCAGAATTCCTGAGCCAGCCATGCTGAGGGGAAATGGAGGTTTCCAAGCTGAGCCATGCTAGCTCAGGAATTCTGGGAGTTGAAGTCCACAAGTCATAAAGAGCCAAGGTTACCTACCCTTGGTTTAATGCAATCATATACTATTCCCAGCTATTGACAAGGCTAACAGAATGGGCAAGGATTGCAGTGTCTGTGCTGGGTAAGAAATCTGGGAGTTGTTGCCCAGCATGCTCAGATAGCATCAGGTTCAAGACTCCCACCTTATGTAATCACAGACCACAAAATTTGTATGCCTAAAATGCACACGCTGCTTGGCAACTTGAAGAGCTGATTGCTGTTGACAGCAGTATGCCAGATGGACCCATGATAAGACTCATTAGCGAGCTATTTTCTAATGTAAGGTGCTTCTGAGATCAAGCATTCAGCCGCTTCTCTTCGTCCCTTTATATATGTTATAAAATAACTTTTTTTCAAATCACAATAACATCCTTGTAAAAGCCTCGTCTTGCATGATTTAGATATATGAGTTCTAAATGCACAGGAATTCTTGCTCAGATCATAAAAACCAAAAGGGAGCCTATGATTTAGACACGGAACATGCAGCTTTATAGCTCCACTGAATGCAGACAGTCCTCAACTTACAACAATTCATTTAGTGACCAAAGTTACAACAGCACTGAAAAATATGACTTACGACCGTTTTTCATAGTTATAACCGTTGCAGCATCCCCATGGTCAGGTGATCAAAATTTGGCCACTTTGCCAGGGGTTCATATTTATGACAACTGCCGTGTCCCGGCATCCTGTGATCCCCCTTCTGACAAACAAAGTCAATGAGGAAACCAGATTCACTTAACAACTGTGGCAAAAATGTCGTAAAATGGTGCAAAACTCAATGTCTCACTGAACAACAGAAATTTTGGGCTCAGTTGTGCTCGTAAGTCGAGGACTACCTGCACACACCACTATGAATGTGTGTGTGAGACCACCTACGGTGGAAAGCTGAGCAGAAGCCTACCAACCTGTCAACGTTCTTTTTCTTCAAGTTATCCAATGTTATTTCTACCAGTTTGAGTTTCTACCATCCTTGCTGCTCTCTTTGCTTGATTACTTTCATGAAGACATTTCATTACCCAAACTAAATAACACTGTAATTGCACTGATGACATTACCTAATATGGGTAATAGAACAAAGAAAACAACCAAGCTCAGAGAGCAACAAGGATCCCTTATTTCAGTGCTGAGCTACAAATAATTTCCTTTATCGCTACCAGTTTCCAATTATTTTCCAACACTCCCCCACTCCTGCCTCCATTTAATTGGCAAGCATTGTCCCCGCAATTCTGGAGTGTGCACACAATTCAAAAAATTTATGCCCAGAAGTGCTTCAGACCTTGGTCGAAAGCAAGCATCTTGAAAAATGGGTGCTACTGCTTTAAAATTTCTTAAAGCAGCAGCACCACTATTTTTTTTTTTTAAAAGCAAGGTACAAAATGGTCACCTCGAACTTATTGAAAGCAGACTACAGGCTTGCAGGCATTTGGTTCAAAACATCAACCATTGTTTGGGGGGTTTAAAAGATGCTTTTTGCAAAGGGAAATAAGTGAGATGTGAAAAACCAAGTCCACAATCACATTTGGGAAATCCCAGAATCTTTTCCATTTATTTAAACTCTGCATTTGTGCCATCCCGAGCATAAACTGTACCCTACCTCATATAACTTTGCAGCAGTTCTTAGCGGGCTTGTTTAACACTGAACGTGAGTTTAAGGCCATGGCTATGTCAGGAGCACAGCTCGCAGGAACCCCGAACACCTGAAAATGAATTATTGCATTTTTTGCATTGCAAAAACCCTGCCGGAGTCACTCATTTCTGCCAGTTTCTAGGCGTATGGACTTCAAATCCCAGAATTCCATAGCCAGTATGGTCGTAGATGAGAATTCTGGGTATTGATGTTTATAGTTTTGGAAGTTTAGGAAACACTGCTCTAAGACTTCTGCAAGAGAACCCAAATGGGTTATGATCTTGTTTGATTTTAAATATATCTTGCGTGCAGAGGGAAATAGTAGCACTTAGACTTATATATCCCCTCACAGTGCTTTACTGCAGAGTTCCCCAACCTTTTTGAATTGGTGGCCCAGAGGGAGGGAGGGGGAAAAAAGGGGATGGTTTTGTGGGAGGGCAGGTATGCATACATGTGCAAGAGCACCTATTGCTCACACGAGTAGGGCTGAGAGCACCTACGAACCTCGTATGAGTGAGGCCCCACCTGTCTGCGATGCTCGCGTGTGGGGCCAAAAGCACCGTAATGCTTGCAGGAGGCCGAGCACTTGCAATGGATTGAAACTAATCAAGGAGAGAAGCAACCTAGAACTAAGGAGAAATTTTCTGACAGTTAGAACAATTAACCAGTGGAACAACTTGCCTCCAGAAGCGGTGAATGCTCCAACACTGGAAGTTTTTAAGAAGAGACTGGACAGCCATTTGTCCAAAATGGTTTAGGGTTTCCTGCCTGAGCAGGGGGTTGGATTAGATGACTTCCAAGATCCCTTCCAACTTTATTATTATTATTATTCCCCATGATTTAAAATAAAATCAGAGGGCAAGCAAGGCCATTTCTTCCTCTGGACATAAGGTAGCCTAAATACAGGTAGTCCTCGACTTACAGCAGTTCATTTAGTGACAATTTGAAGTTACAACAGCACTGAAAAAAGTGACCTATGACCATTTTTCACACTTATAACCATTGTAGCATCCCCGTGGTCACATGGTTTACCTTCAGACGCTTGACAACTGATTCATATTTATGACGGTTGCCAGGTCCCAAGGTCATGTGATCAACTTTTGCGACCTTCTGTCAAAGTCAAGTCAATGGGGAAGCCAGATTCACTTAACAACCGTGTTACTAATTTAACATCTGAAGTGATCCACTTAACAAATATGGCAAAGAAAAGTTGTAAGGTGGAGCAAAACTTGCTTAACAAATTTCTCACTTAGCAACATAAATTTTGGCCTCAATTGTGGCCGTTAAAGTCGAGAACTACCTGTACTGTTGTGCTCAGCTCTTTAGCCACAATTTGCCTTTTGCCATCACTGCCTTGGATATCCGAGAAATCAGTTTTCACAGTCTACAACACACTTACACAGCAACCTTTCCAACATCCAAAATGGCAGCCACTGAAGCCTGCACAGATATATGACAAGTGTTTCATTAATGAGCCATACACAGACCCGGGAGTGAATTCTTACCAGCATGCAAACACAGCCACATCAACCATGTTCCATAGTTGCCACATCATGTGGGGGAAAAAAAAAGACACCGGGTTGATGTTTAGGGGCTTACTTTAAGTGGACCTTGTAATCTTCCTTGGATTTACTCTATTAATGGAATGTGATATTTAGTGCTGCTTACACAAAACTCTGTATTCTGAAATAGCTGCTTAGTTTACTTAAAGTGAAACTTTAATGTATGATACTTGCTCACATAGCAAGGCTTTGGTCTATTTAACATACCTAGCTGGTTCCCTCTAATGGGTGCCCAGTTTGTATGTTCTCTGCAACCAGAGGTTCTCACTGACATGAGAGTGCCATAAAAGCAGGCTTGAACAAAGTCTGTCAAGGCAATCATTCCTAACCATCTTCCATAAATGCTATGGCTGCCGGTCAGATGTCCCAGTCAGCATGGCCTCTTGTAGGGAGACTTCTCATTCCAACACACATGGAAAACACTATATTGGAGAAAGCTGGATTACCAACAGAAGTTCTACTAGCAATAGCACACACACCACCCTATGTAGTGCTTTACAGCACATTCTGGGCAGTTTATGCTGTAGAAGCACTATTTGCATATTACCCTCAACAATCTGGGTCCTCATTTTACAGGCCTCAGAAGGAGGAAAGGCTGAGTCAACCTTGAGCTCCAACAGGATTGAACTTCAGCCTGTCGGCAGAGTTTGCCTGCGATACTGCATTCTAACTACTGTGTCACCAGGGCTCCTAATACAACAAATGAAAAGTAGGGTATTTATGGTGCTCCAGTTATTGCCTCATCAATTCCCAGGGATATCCCTACTATTGACCAGGCTGGCTGGGGCAGCTGAGAGATGTAATATAACAGTGCTTCAGGGTCCATGGATTACCCACTCCTGCCTAGACTGTATATTCGCCTCTCCCTCAACAATTCACGAGGCATCTTTCAGCAAAAGCTAAAACATGTTCTCTATAGTTAAAAAATATATATGCCTAACTAGCCAAACTAGAAAAAGCTGTAATCTCCTCATGTCATATTCTGCTGTTCAATTTGTACAATCAAATGCAACTGTCTTTTTGCAATAGCAGTATTGAGGTCCCACAGGAACTCCATCAGCAATCCTTTCAGCAGATTCTCCATAGGAACAAACTGTAAGACCTGCTGGGGGGACTTGGAGTCGAGTAGGGTCCTCATAAGTTTATTTAGCTGTTGCAAGTATTGGAAAACTGAGTCTGGAAGACCTTGGTATCCAGCACAGAGCAAGACAGCATTGGTCCTTAGAGGCTGAGATGATGTGGAGCAAGCAAAGGAAACATGCTGGAAACAGTTCTGCAAGATGAAGACTAAGCCAGCCATAAAGCGTGTGAGGCAGGAAAGAACGGGCAAAACCAAGGCATCTCCTTTTTGAAGCTGAGGAAATGCACCCAAGAGGCATTCTAAAAAATGCAGCTGATACTTGGGTTCTCCGTCGTGTAGTAAAGAACAGCTAAAAGTCAAGAGAGATGCTGACTCCACGTTTTTAACTTCCAAGCCAGACTTACTTTCTTCATCATAAAACAGTGGGAAGCCTAAAACCAAGCACTTTTTTCTTTGGCTTATGCAATTGTTATCTGGAATATATTCACAATATTCCATAAGTTCTGATAATTCAGACAGCACCGATGATGCTGTAAGAACACAGCAAAATTGGCATTCTGCGTATGTTGTTCTTGTAAGGTCACCGTTAATAGTTTGGCCAACTAAAGATTTTTCAATGGCTTCGTTGAGGCTCTTCAAAACCTCACCATCACAGAAGGGAGAAAATTTAACGCTTGGCAATTGCTGGCCTTCCAAGGTATACCATAAACGACAGTCGAGGTTGCCAGGGGCTCCTTCTAAAACACAGCCCTTCCCAACATTACCGAGAACGTGTTCATCAATCCACTGGTTAAGGCATCCTTTTACTATCTTGTCTTCCCAAGACAGGGATTCCAGCAGTTTTCTCTCGTTGTAGGTGCAGAAATACTTGTTCCTCTGTCCAAACCATTTGGAATTCATGCTATAGCCAGCGTGAGGCTTCTTCACTAGCCAGTTATTTCGGGAAATAGGTTTTAATTGGAACCTCTGCAAGAAATATTTGACACAGCAGTCCCGCAGAGCGTTTAATCTGGCCTGTTCCGCCTCGTCCATATAGTCAAAGAGTCGGAGGTTTTCTGAAATCGTCTCTGTTTGGTGCTTGTGAAAGAATAAACAGCATTCTTCATGGACCTTGAGAAACGACTCTGGAATTAAGTGCTGGGGAAATAGAGCTTTTGTCACCAGTTCTGACCCAAAGTTCTGCAGCATCTTAGATAGGACGAAGTGAATGGCCTCCCGGCCCAAATAGCGCAGGCAAACCACATAGACCTCAGAGTTCCCTGCTTTACTCGTAGCAGGTTTAAAAACATGAACCTCCTCAAAGGAACAATTGAGGAGAAATAGCAAATTAACTGAACTGTGTTCAAACAAGGTGAACATCTTCAGAACAAAGGAGCCTCCATGACCCAAAGTCATTAGAGCAGTGACAGTTTCACAGTAATGCAACGGAGAAACTAACATCTCTTGCTCACCTGGGTTGCCCTGGCAATCAAAACTCCCATCCGAGGTGACCAAATGAACGGTGGCCATGTTGCTTATGAAATGCTGCAACCCCGTGAGGTGATTCAGACTCGTGACATCTCCGGTATTCTCTGGGCCAAAATACCACCAGGGCAAAGTATTGGCAATAAGCCGGTCATCCATAATCATCATAAGGGTATCGTTTGCTTCATGATAGGGATTCAAGGTATTGGCGACCCAGTTCCAATCACAAGGGATACGGTGAGACTTCAGATAATGGTTGAGGCTGGCTATAAAGGCGCCAGGGGCCTCACACAGATGAACTGAGTTGAGTTCGCCATTTTGTAGCGCGTCGCTCGGGAGAAGAGGAAAACTGCAAACGACCTCGTGGAATTTGCACCAAGCCTGAGTGCACAACTCAGCATTGACCAACTTCTTGACGTGGGCAATAACTTTCCCTGCTTTGTTGGTGAAGGAGGTGTGCTGATGCCACTCATCCAGTTGCTTATCACTAAGTTTGTTCTTGACTTCGTTCAAGGAATCCTTGAGAGCCTCAAGAGAACTGAATGCTTCGTGATTGGAGGTAAAAACCTGGCTGGGATCAGGCAACTGCCATTCATTGTTGGCTGGTTTGGTATACAAAAAAGTCTTCTGGAACAGTTTTTCAATTTCAGCATGGATATCTGTGCCAAACTGGTCAAAATTTATAAACTGCTCATCATACGTGGCCTTCTGTCTGTTCATTTTCAGATCCAGGAAAATCTAGAAAGAAAATGAAGAGTTTAAAGACCAAAGAAATGAAGTAATGATTTAAGAACTCAATAAAACACTTCCTTAACTTTTCATTTAGCACAAAAAGAAAAAGAAATTTCCCCTATGCGCTGAGCATTTCAGCTTACAAGAAAAGATGAAACAAATATGAAAACAAAAACTTATATCCCAGTAATCAGGCAGATGAGGCGTTCTTTTTTTTTCCAAACTGTGTATTGAGGTTAACAAATCCCAATATTTTAAGTTCTGTGATTCAAGAACAGCAGAGAATTCTGGGGGATGTAGTTGTAGTACACACAGTATACTTAAATGGGAAGACTGACTCTGAATGAAAAGCATGTTAAGCAGCAGAAAAGACTGAAACCTTCTAATGAGAATTTAGCATTTATTCTCAATGTAAAGAAAACTTATGAGATCTGTTTTTCTTTTTAAAAAATAGAATCAAAAAGGGAAAAGTAAATTATATAAATGCAGACAGTGATTGCGATTTTTATTTATTATTTAATTATCCACCTTTATTATTTTGATAAATAATTCAAAGTGATGAACATACATAATACTTTTTCTTTCTCCTATATTCCCCACAACACCCTTGTGAGGCAGGTTGGTCCAAGAGAGAGTGATTAGCCCAAAGTCAGCAAGCTGGCTATCTTGCCTAAGGCAGGTCAGTAATTCATAGTCTCCTGTTTTCTAAATAATTTTAGATTTAGATTTTATGATAATAAATAAGACATTAAAATAATTTCCATGGTGGACATAAGACATTAAAATAATCTCCATGGTGGACAGTTATGCTAAAAGTATTTTGAAGTTACCTCAAGATGTATAAGCATTTAAATTTGTCCACTGCAATAATGGGATTCCCAAGTGATTAAGTTTATTGAATTACGCAAATGCCACATGGGAATAAAATCTACCCAACCAACTTCCATTTCTTCAAGAGATTCCAACTTCAAAGAATTTAAAACAAAAATGTTGCCAGCTGGGATGACACCAAAAGAAGAAATGTTTTTGAGCAAAGGTATACTAATATGAAATTAAATATGCTAAATAACAAAAAGCAACAAAGGTCAGTCATTGTTTAGAAACCTTTTCCAGCATTTTTATATAACAGCTCAGATGCCAAAAAAAGGTACCAAATCTCATCCTTTCAGCTATTTAAAATATTATTGTATTTGAAATCAATGGGAAGATTATTTAGGAAAGTGATGCTCTATAATTGGTGTATCTATATATCTATATTCTGTTATAACTATTCTAATATCTCTCAAAAGGACAGTCGGAAACCATTTACAATGCGCTAATATAAAATTTCTGTAGCTCATATTATACCTCACATTTAAAACGGCAAGTTTTTCCATTTACTTCTAGAATAATTTCAAAATAAGGCGGCAAATATAAAAGAAACTGGAAAGCCAAATTGGTCTAATGGAGAAGGCATCAAGCTATAAACCAGGAGACTAATTCTAATCCTGCTTTAGGCCTGAAAACTGATTGGCAACTTTGGGCCAATTACTCTCTCTCAATCCAACTCACCTCACAGAATTGTTTTGTGTGGAAAATAGGAAGACGAAGGAGTATTAGATATGTTCACCGCCTTGAGTTAATAAAAATAAGAAACATAGAATAAAAATAAAACATAATCTTACCAGTTCATAGATCCTGCTGAACTTAATGTCCTTTACATGCAGACATGAAGAAGAATGTACAATGGCTATAAAATCCTAAACATGTCTAATTAAAAATAGTTTTCATAAAGTACAATGATTTACTCACAGATAAATGAATTTTGGTTTACTATAGAAGAGGGGTTTTTTTGTTGTTTAAGTACCCACCTGTTAGAAGGAATGCATTGATTACTGTTCCGAATCTGGTTGCAAATGCTGTAGATAAGTCCAAGTTCTACCTATTATGGAAAAGAATTCCAGTTTCTGCATGAAATAATCAGTCAGTTTCTGTTTTTATAATGTATTTTCTAAGTTTCCTGTAGTGGAGTTTTTACCACTGTTTTATTGATCAGCAGCACCAAGCCTACTCTCTTGATCTCAAAAAGATAAACAAGGTGACACCTGGTTCAATACTTGATGAGATACTACTGGTAACAGGAAATACCAAGTTTATAAACTATATTGGGAAGTTTAAATAAAAATCAGAAGGCGGATCAATTCATCTTTTTGCCCAAGAAACAACATGAAGTTGTCCACGAAGTCACTAGAAGCTCAGCTCAATTCAGAGAAACTGTCTTTTATGGATTTCTTTCAACTGAAGGTTTCTAAGGCAGCTAAACCCAATTGCACCATATTATAAAATCCATCAAAAGCTATATTTTATAATAAAAAGCACTTTACAGAGAGAGTGCTAACTACCAGATGACCGCAAGAAATAGAAATTCTTCCGTTCTCCACTATTCACTTAGAACTGAAGAAGCTTCTTGGATGAGAAGCAAAATGTCTTCAAGGAAAAAACAAGAAAGTCCAGTTGCCTCTTGAAAAAGCAGCTTTGGGACAACCATGACCTGGATGACTGAGAATCCCCATAGACATGAAACAATTGACAAAGGCACAGCAAATTTAGAAATATATCAGTATCATTGCAAAAAACAGAACATGGGACGAAAAAGAAGCATGAATGGCACAATCCTCAAGTCACAAGGCAATAAAGGCGCAAGAGGCATTTCATGCAATATCAAAATTATTATAATTAAGAATTATCGTATTATCGTAAATATCATTATTAAGAAGAAGGTGGCTGTCACATTGATGCACAAGAGCATGACATCCAGTTTCTAATTTCAGGCCGGCACAGTACACGCAGTAGTTCTTGCAGAATAATAATTAACATTGTTTCACTAAGAGATGATTTTTGCCTTTTAGATATTACCCTCTGGCATACCAACAAGAGGCAAAATTTAAGCATATTCTTGTTGTGGATTATAGGAACTATACCAGGATGGGGAACTCTGGCTTAGAAACTAGGACAAGGTAATGCATTAAATAGCTTTAGGGTTCTCAGATAGATGCTGGCTGGGGAATTCTGGGAGTTGAAGTCCACAAGTCTTAGTTGTCAAGGTTGGACAACCTTGCTCTGGGATCTCACAGCATCTGGCCAGATCTCGGCAGCCTTTGATGAACAGACAGCATCTCTTAAAGGATGTTTAAAGTTTAAAAATATATGGACCAGCCCATCCTACCAATACGAGACACCCTTTTCGACATGACTTAACCCACCACCCGTTAACCGAGCCCCTCTTCAGCTTTTCTAACCTGGCAACTCTCAAAACTCAACTTCGGCTCCCACCGTACCCTGTCAACAGATCCCCTCTCCTAGGGCAGGAAATTTCGGAAAAAACTCCCCTTATTTTACAACTTCACCTTCTTTAAAAACAATTCTTACAATCACGCCTGGAATGAAACATCGTCCAACTGATACACATGCGCACTTCCGCCTGTTCAGTTCCCGAGTTATTCAGAGAGCGTCTTTGAACGCATGCGCACCTCAAGGAGACTGTCGCTGCGCGTGCGTCATCTGCCGCGTGATGTTAGGGCGTGAAAACAAAAACCTGCTGGCGTTTTTTAAACAGACGTACCTGCGCAGAAAGACTTTGTCCGCGAGAGCCCGCCCTCGGTTCCCGCCGCTTCTAATTGGACGAGAGACCAGCGAGGCGGGAGAGCGCGCGTTCTGAGCTGGCAGTTGATGGAGCGGATATGACGCGAGCGGAAGCGGCTTAGCAGAAGCTGTTTGAAGAGATGCCCCTGAGGGTGAAGGAAGAGTGTGGGGTTTGGTGCGTACGTGGATCTGTCGTCCTTATGGGGCTGAGGACCGGGGAATTAATGATTAGAACAATCAGTGGAACGAAGTTGTGGGTGCTGCAACACTGGAGATTTTTAAGAAGAAACTGGACAACCATTTGTCTGAAATAGTGCAGGGTCTCCTGCTTGAGCAGGGGGTTGGACTAGAAGACCTCCAAGATCCCCTTCAATTCTGTTATTCTGTAATTCGGGACCGTGTCCGAGCTCTCTCTGAGCAGCGATGCTTCTTCGATGAACCTGAAGCAGTCACGCTCTCTCAGTGTGGGCCACACCACAGGATTGTTGTGGGGCTAAAAATCGGAGGAAGGTGTAGGAGTTCCCTCTTAAGCTCCTTGCGGGAGCTTAAAGGGGACGTAAATAAAAGCAATAATGAATACTTATTTTATAATATTGTGAGATTCGCACCGGTTTGTGGGTGACCTCCAAGAAATGGAATTAAAATCGGTAAACTGCGTGTGAAAGGGTTGTGCGATGACAGCGAAGTAAAAAAGAAAACCAAGGTTTTATTGAAAATCTGCTAAATTTAGCCAATAATGGCCATTGTAGTCAAGTGGATAATATGTTGGAGTGTTGTCATGGAGACCCAGGTGCAATTATACCATCAACCATGGAAGTTTCCTGGATGATTGTAGGCTGCTCATTTTTTCTCAGTTCAATTTACCTCACAGTATTTTTATTGGGAAAAATGAGAGATGGGTGCCCTGTGTATCATTCTTTGAACTCTTGGAAGAAAAGCGAGATATAAATCTAATAAAATAGTATTGCGTGAATTTAAATTTGGCCCTGTGATGTAACTTTTTGTTTTTGAAATGTCCTTTTAAATCAGTTGCAAAATTGAGATTTGTGGTACTATTAAGGCTAATAAATCTCAAGAAATGCAACATTTAATAATTTAATTGAAGCTTGAATTGTGCATGCAGCCATCTTTAAGATGGCAAGGGCAACAGTATAAATAGATTTTTTTTAAATACAAAATGGTAAGCTGGATACACTTTTGTTTTATCAGCAGTAAAGAAAAATTAATATCTTTAAAGCTAACAATCTTGTATAAGAGAATCTAAATGCATGACATGGTCACTTCATAGAGTTAGCAAAAAAACAATAGAATTATTGAACTGACAATGTCCCAGCCAATATAGATCAGTCTCTGTAGTTTTGTTTGGAATTGGTGAATAATTGATGGATTCTGCAGCAAACCTTATTTGATCTGGGAAAGGTGATTTGGAACACATGTTGGTACGCATGCATGTTGCATCTTTAGCATCTCCTTAGATCAAGATGCAACTTTTTAAAATAATTACTATCAGATGTGATGTGCTATATCACCTTTTCTACTGTAAATCTGGGTTGCTGCATAGTACTTATAACATTTGCTAAATGCGCATTGAAAGGAGAAAAAGGAAGGAATCTGTACAGAATAAAGTGAAAGTGTCTCCCTGAAATTGAGCTCAGCTCCTGGCTATATCTTATAATTTTCTGGGTAACAATATAGAAATGGCTTCTTTTCCCCTTCTTGCATTATGGTTTTAGCACTTGGGAAATCTAGTCTTCAGCACTAGGATTTCCTTGTGATATTGTATCCATTCCAGCCCTGTTTAGCTTTTTTGAGACAAGCAATAGGATCAATGTTGTTAAAAGGTCTGTAGCTATTCCATTGATATGCATACTTGTAACTTGGATTATTTCAGTAATAATAAAGCATTGCAGAAAGAATCAGAGGACCATCCAAGAAAGTTGTAATGGGTAATGTTGCTTAACTAGAAACCACTTTTTTCTAGTACTGATACTTTACCCATGCAAGTCTGTTCTTGGATAACCTTAAGGGGCACTATAACTTGCTATTAAGGAAATTAACAAACAGTGTACTTGGGCCAGGTGTGTCTATGCTTCCTGAGCAACTATATCCTGGATTGTCTAGGAGGCACCGTTTCTACAAGGGGAAGATTTGTTTATAAAATGAAAAAGTCAAGCTTTTTAATGGTTAAATAACACGTAAGCGTTAATGTAGTATTCTGCATTTACTTTGTGTGCGCGTGCGTGCATTTTATTAGTGAAATTGTTATTACAGATAAACTCTAGCTGTTAGTAAAGTGATAATTACTACTTGTATTTCATTTATGTCTGATCCCACTTAAGATATGTGTATGCATCTTATAAAATCAATGGATTCATTCATGTCTCTTCCTGGTATAGGAATTTGGAATCCATAAAAGTTTATATCATTTTGTAGCTTTCAAGATGCCACAAGCTTTTCTTTCCATAGTAGGTTGCAGTGCTGGATGTTTCTCAATTAATTTGCATTGCTGTAGAAATGCAGAGCTTTGGATTGGCCTTACAGGTAGTTCTCATTTGCTGACCACTTATTTGGTGACCATTGTAAAGTGTAATGGTGCTGAACAGGTGGTACTTACAACCAGTCCTCAAAGTTCTGGCTGTTATAGCACCCTTGCAGTGTCCTGTGGTCACATGATTTCTATTTGTGATCTCCCTGCTGGCTTTTCACAAGCAAAGTCAGTGGGGAGACCAGCAGGAAAAGTTACAAGTTGTTCTGGTAAGTTCCTCTGGGTGTTCTGTAATAACCCTGGATCACACACACAGGCCTTCCAGTGCTCACAGAGGCATTCCAAACCCTCTTCCACACCTCAACTCACACCAGGCCTCCTCTCCCCATTCTTTGTGGCACCCCCATGCTCCTTAAATGGGATTCCCACCACCTTCTGCTTAACCAGATGTCTTAGGGTTATAACAGCAATAGGAATTATCATTGCTAAGTGATGCAGTCCCATGATATCACATTTTACAACTGCGTTGCTTAGTTACAACAATCCCCATTCCAACTGCCATTGTAACCTGAGGACTACCTACATTTGCTTTTGTGGGGATTTTTTTGGAGATAATTACCTAATAAATATGCTTTTCCCTTTTCTCTGAAAGGGAACTTACACTTCTCTTAACTATATAGAAATATTGCATTACAAAATAATAGATAATCGAAATAGTAGAAAATAATGTTTTGGAAAGATCCAAAGATCCAACTGTATTTGTAATATCAAGGAATATATCTGCTAAGCTGCTAAGACAATCTTGTTGGAGTGCTGTGAAAACCTCAAGGATTAATTAAAAAAGATCTTGAGAAGTTTATTGATTGAAGCTTTTTTGAAATTATATCCATTAGTGCCCTCTTCAGCAGCTCTTTTCTTTTGAAGCTGTTGTTGCAGCACTTTTTCTTTTAAAATACGTATTAAATTATCCTGTGCCCATTTATCCACAAGAGTATCTGCAGCAGTTCGCTGAAGCTGTGGGCAACATATTCTTTAAAATACACATGTCCTTGAGATGCTTTTAAATTGTGTATATTTGCCACCCTCAAAACTCTGTTTTTCAGACCAGCATTTCTATGCCTTTCGCTTGAACTGAGAAATTTGAAAACATGAGAGTATGGCTGAAAACAGAATAGAAATACACTTACCCAATTCAATACCCACCATTCCTTATATTTTCACCTTTAATGCATATTGAATAACTTTAAAAGCATTTTGTATGAAAGGTCAGAAGGCTTCTTGCCTTTCTCTCAGATTACCTTTTGTAACGAAATAAATGGACTACTATGTTTTCAGTGTATTTTTCCTTGGATACAGATGTCCATACACAGCACTGAAGTGGTTGAAAGGTTGTTGATGAGAAACAAAACAACCTCTATGAGCCATGAAATGAACTCTAAGGGAAAAGCTACAAAGCCAGTGGATTTTTTTAAAACTTGCATAATCATTCTGTATACCATTAAAATAACCTTTCTCCCCTTATTTTACTGTGTATGTATGTGTATATATATATATATATATATATATATATATATATATATATATATATATATATAGGTCTTTGGTTGTTCGGGTTTTCTCCACGAAGCTGAAAACACCAGCCTGAAGATGACGAATGGGACTTCGTCGAAACGTCGCCAAGACACTTCCAATTTTACGCGGGAGAAAACCCGAACAACCAAAGACCTACATACAAACACCCGCGAAAACCTCAGAAAACAAATATTGAACCTCTACGGGGAGGAAATCCACCATCTGACCAGGACCTATGAAAAACTTGAAGTCCAAAGAGCTTCCATTTTATGCGACCTCGCATTCCTACGCAACTGCCGAGATCAAAATCTAATCCCCACATGTTTCCAACTGAAATTCCACTCCAACTCTGCAGCCACCAAACGGATCCTGAAAAGAACAGAATTGGCCCTAATCAGAAATGAACTTCACACAAAAAGATTCCTCCTAGACCGAATTAACAAAGATCTCCTCACACTCCACCTCAAACTCAGCAACAAGATCCACCCCGCACTTTGGGACAAATCCAAACAACTCGCCGTCTGGAGAGCCGAAACACAGACCACCCTCAAGACAGATACACACACCAACAAACTCCGAAGACTACAAGAACGCCAGAAACAAACCCCTCCTCCCTCACAGCCACACATGAAACAAACAGTGCATAACATCTCAGATAGGATCCTCACCAAAGCCGAAACCAATGTCCTTTCCAAAGGATTCAACTTTGCAGTCACTCCCAAACACATCCCCACTGAAACCATTATATGTGGAGTTGAAACCAGCCTGACCAAAATCAACCCCGATGATGCTAACAGAATCAGACTCGAAATCACCAACATCCTCTGTACCAGCAAGCCACCCAAAAGCAACTTACCCAAAGAGGAACAGACAGCACTACGTAACCTGAAAGAAGACACCAGCATAATAATCCTACCAGCAGACAAGGGCAACGCCACGGTGGTTATGAACACATCTGACTACCAAACCAAATTAACCAACCTACTCCAAGACTCCACATACAAACCCCTAAATACAGATCCCACCACCTACCTGGAAAAAACCACCAGATCCAAAATAAAAGCCTCCCCATTAGCGAAGAGATCCAGCAAAGAATCATTCCCAGAGAGAAATCATCCAGATGCCCCAAACTCTATGGTCTCCCCAAGATACACAAGGAAGGAACCCCACTCAGACCTATAGTCAGCTCCATAGGCTCACCTCTACAAAACCTAGCCAAATTTCTCGCCAAACAACTACAGCCCTATGCAGAATCCATCACCTCACACGTAAAAAACTCATTCCACTTTATAGAGATCATAAAGAAACAAAACTTACAGCCCAGCGACCTACTTGTGAGCTTTGATGTCATATCCCTCTTCACCCAAGTGCCTATCAAAGAAGCCTTGACAGCTATCCAAAACAAATATAACCCCCCCAAACACATCTTAGATCTGACCAACCACTGCCTATCCAACACATACTTCATCTATAATGGACAAAAATACAAACAAACAGAAGGAGCACCCATGGGATCACCCCTCTCACCTGTCATTGCCAACCTCTACATGGAACACTTTGAAACCCAAGCTCTAGAAAAATCGGATCACAAACCCAAACTCTGGCTCAGATACGTAGACGACACCTTCATAATCTGGCCACATGGGAAAGAAAAACTGGACAACTTCCTCACACACCTCAACAGCCTACACCCCAAAATACAGTTCACCATGGAAACAGAAGCTAACAACCAACTTCCCTTCCTGGATGTCTTAGTCTACAAGAAATCCAATGGCTCCCTAGGACACACCATCTACCAGAAGAAAACACACACAAACCGCTATCTGCACGCTCTCTCACACCACCACCCAGCACAGATCAACTCTGTAGCCAAGACACTCATCTCCAGAACAAAACGCTTAGCTGACGAACAACACCTAAAAACCGAACTACACACTCTCACCAATGTACTAACATCCAATGGATTCCAAAGAAATAAGATTACAAACCTAATCCAAAAAGAAACCCCCACTAAAATCCAAGACGAAGAACAAGAAAACGGCAAAGCCCTCCTCCCATACATAAAAGGCACCACAGACAGAATCAGTAAGATCCTCCATAAACACAACATCAAAACAGCATTCTGCACAAACAGAAAAATATCCACCATCCTTAGAAACCCCAAAGATAAAATTGAATTAGAAAATCAAGGAGTATACGAAATCCCATGCACCACTTGTCCCACCACATACATCGGACAAACCAACAGAAGAATAAGTGCACGCATTGAAGAACATAAGAACTCAGTCAAAAAAGAGGAACCAACATCTTCCCTGGTCCAACACCTTAAAGCCACAGGACATGAAATTGACTTTAAAAATACCAGAACCATTGCCAAAAGTGAACATTTTAATAACAGAATAATCAGAGAAGCCATCGAGATAGAAAAACGCCCACACAGCATGAACAAGCGAGATGATACCTCCCGCCTACCAGCCATTTGGAAACCCGCCCTTATTGACAAACGACTCCCTAATACAAAAAATGATACCAGACCCACACTCACAAAAACCACACAGGATGTCACCACCACACATCCACGCAAAACGCAAACCCAAAGCCACACCGATGATGAGGCACGACCACAAACCAGAAGCCAGACCAGAGCTGCATCATTAGCCACTTCAAAGCCCTCCAATCCATACACGAAGCAAACTGACACCCTCCATGAAAATGAGGCACGACCACAAACGCGAAGCCAAAAAATAGCAAGGCAGCCCAAAATCTTAAACCCCTCTGCAACTCAGACTAACCTGAGCACAACCAAACAGACACTCCCCCAGCCAATCAGAGCACAGCCAACCCCCCAGCCAATCAGAGCACAGCCAACGCCCCTAACCATCAGAACACACCTCCACCCAATCAGAACACAGCCAAGCTCCCACCCAATCAGTTCATACCCCCACTGGCAGTTAAAAGGAAGAAACAGCTAAGACTACACATTGCTGCTCGAAGCACGAAGCTGAAAACACCAGCCTGAAGATGACGAATGGGACTTCGTCGAAACGTCGCCAAGACACTTCCAATTTTACGCGGGAGAAAACCCGAACAACCAAAGACCTACATACAAATACCCGCGAAAACCTCAGAAAACATATATATATATATATATATATATATATATATATATATATATATATATATATATATATATATATACACACATACATACATACAATATAATATAAATATACTGTACATATACTGTATATAATACTACTGTATTAACTTTTTGACTCAGATATATTGAGGCTAAGCATGTTTCCCTTGTCTTTGTAAATGCAGCATTGAATAGTAATTGTAACCAACAATGAGAAGAAAAGTGGCAGGAAGACTTAGGCTTAGTCCTAACGAAGAAGCTCAGCTGTTGAAAGAAGAACATGAAAGAAGAAGAAAATTAAGGCTACAACAGGTGTGTTTGTATTGGGAGGAGTCATTTATCTTTGAGTAATTAAAAAAAGCAGAAACTATATGCAGCTGTTAAGTAAGTATATGGCAACAGTGCATTCCGTGGAGTGGGACAAGATCTGTACTACCCTAGAGCTGCAGAGGTATCTGGGAATAATCCTTTACATCAGTGTTTCCCAAACTTGACAATTTTAAGGCATGAGGACTTCAACTCCCAGAATTCCACAGCCAGCGTTGCTGGCTGTGGAATTCTGGGAGTTGAAGTCCTCATGCCTTAAAATTGTCAAGTTTGGGAAACACTGCTTTACATCTTTAACCTCTTCCTGGCTCCAGATTTAGGAGGAAGGATGGGATTTTCTGTTCACTGTTTCCATGCCAGCCAAGTAGACAAAATGTACTGTATCATAATCAGCATAATCTGGGAAGGGAATATATGACACTAATTTCTTTATTGCTAAGATCTCTGCACAGGGTTAAATTGGCAAATCCAATTGAGGCATGAAGTTAGGATTAGAAAGCAGGGAATTACTTTGCACCAAAATAAATGGATGACATAGCCCAGTTATTTATTTAATTTATATACTGCCTGAATCAACACTTTTGTGGTTCACAACTTAAAAAAAAATTAAAACAGTGAAAAAGAAATAGAAGAATATAGTGGTACCTCTGTACTCGATTGCTTCAAAAGTCATTTAATTTGGTATCTGCATTTTGATGCGAAAACGTTGCCCTGATACTTATTGTTTGTTTGGTACTTGACACACTGCAATAGGAAATGGGGGATAACGACAGAGAATGGACAGGAAGTTGGCAATGTCGGGAAGGACACTGCAAAAGGAAGCAGGGGACGGCTGCAGAGGGCAGACAGGATGTCGGCCATGCTGGGAAGGTCGCAGACATAGGAAATGGAACAGATAGGAAGTCCTTCCATGTTGAAACAAAAGGTCACGTGGTAAACTACGTGGTTTGTTTGGTACTCATCGTTTTTAGTACTTGTCACGCCTCCCAGGACCAATTAACGAGTACCGAGATGCCATTCTAGACAAGAATGAGTAAAAGATGATAAAAACCAAATAGGAATGAAAAAGAGACAGACCTCACCTTCCAGGCACTTCAAAACACCTGCCCTGTGCATGCATGTACTGCTACAGATAAAACATGCTTATGGGTCCTGGTTAATGTTGGTGTTTAACCGAATGAGGCCAACATGCTCCAACCCTGCTAGATTGAATCAGCTAGACAAATATTATGATAAATAGGTATTTCATCATGTAAGTAGACTGTACACAGTCAATTGAAATAAAACAATAACTGGAAATTGGGATATAGCAACTGGGCTGCATGGTAGGGCCTTCTATGGAATAATTGACCAACAATGTTTCTCCTTTCTCTCCTCCCCCCCCCCAAGGTCAGGGAACAGGAGCGGAATATTGCTTTGCAGATAAGACAAGATGTTAAGCAGCGAAGAGATGAACACCTGAAGCAGTTGGCCGAAGAACTGGCAGCAGAATGGCAGAAAACACAGGATGAGAAAATTAAAGCTCTGGAAAATCTATACCTGTCAAGTTTAAGAGCCATAGGAGAAGGGCATAAAGAGGCAAAGGAAAATGTAGGTAAATGATCATGTCACTTCCAAAGCTTCCTGCAGATACTGTATGTTTTACTAACTGTATGGTTTGTAGAAATTTGTACTGAAAAGTTGGTGTGAACCAGTATTTTTCAACCTTGACAACTTTTAAGACATGTGGACTTCAACTCCCAGAATTCCCAAGCCAGCATGGCTGGCTAGGGAATTCCGGGAGCTGAAGTGCACACACCTTAAAAGTTGCCATGGTTGAGAAATACTGATGTACACATTTATTTCACTAGTAAGATGTTAAGGACATTTTCTCTTTTTACTGAGGAAATGTAGAGATAGTCCTCAAGTTATGACCATTTGTTCAGTGAAGTTGCGATGGCTCTGAGTAAAAGGGCGTACAACCAGTTCCATATCCCAGCAGCCACATGAACAGAATTCGATGCTTGGCTCACATGTATGACTGGTTGCTGTTGCTAACCTCGGCCAGATCCACGAGGAAGCTGGCAGGGAGGGTCACAAGTGGCTTGGAAAAGTCTCTCTCTCCCTCCCCCCCTTTTTTTTTCTTTTACATGCATGGCAGTCTCCTCCTCTCTCACAGCGACCACCACCCCTGTCTGCCCATGGTTTTTTTTTTTTAGATATATATTTTTTATTTATTTTTTAACAAAACATAAGTCACTCAATAATTGGTAAACAGTGTGTTGTCTGGGTTACGTTTGTGAAACAATCCTTAACAATTAATTTCTATAACCTATGTTCCATATATTAATTTTGGTTGATTTCCTCTTTCCCCAAAATATCCTTTTTTTGCAAATATTGAGTTATTACAATTCTTATTGTTTTAATGAGTAACAATTAAATATATAATTTTTCCAATATTCCTGAAAAATAATAATCGTGTTAGTATAGTATTTCTTTTCTGTCATTTTGGTTGCCTTATCATAAATCCTGTTACAATCCTTATTTTGGTTTATTTCTCCCATCAAATTCTAGATATTCTTACTAATAAAAGATTTTCTCAATGATTAATTACATTGACATTGACAGATTTAATTCTGTTTTTTCCATAGAAGCCATCTCACACTTTTACATTTCTTAAGAAATAGATAAAAGGATTTCTTTTCAGTCATTTTGGTTGTGAGATGGCTTCTATGGAAAAAATAGAATTAAATCTGTCAATGTAAATGTAATTGTTCAATATTGAGCAAAGAATAGGACAGTGATGTGTGATGTCCTCTTGGTTTTATTAATGTATTTATGGATAAATGCCTAAGGAATGCTTACAGTGAGAATTTGAATGGGCATATAATTTTGTATGCTGACCATGGTGTGCTGTTTGTTCAGAAGTCAAATGATTTGCAGCGAATGTTAGATTGTATGATGTGATGAGGGGTATGGACCTGCAAATTAGACCCAAATGGCACCAATGACCAAGGTACTTGTATTTGACAGGAAAAATGAAGTAAATATTCTATATTACTTATAAATATGCCGAATTAAACAAGTAGATGAAATTGTCTACATTGTTAAGATTTTTTTTATTAAAATGAGAAAATGAATGGGGAATATTTAAGATGTGCAAATGTTGGTAGAAAGATAGATAATATTTTGAGAAGAATGAATGAAAAGAGGAGAGAAAAGTGAAAGAGGAAAGAGGAAGATGGTGAAAGTTTTGATTATTTGGAGTTTGCTACGTTCTCAGAAAAAGATGAGAAGTTTAAAGAGAAGCAATGTATGAATCAATTCCCTTATAACGTGTTTGCAGTACTCAGAGTTAGAAATAATTCCAAATGTATGCAGTGGATATAAAAAAATCTACATACGCCTGTCAAAATGCTAGGTTTTTGAGATGTAGAAAAACAGGCCAAGATAATTCATTTGAGAATTTGTTCCACCTTTAACTGTGGAATTATTATACATTTTTATTATTTCCCCCTAAACGATTTCAGTTTGTTTTTCAATTGAATTGTACAGTTTATATGATATATTAGGTACATTCAGTGTAATATATGCACTTCATATATAGGTATTCTCTTAAGAAGAAAAGATTAGCAAATGAGATGGAGCACTCAAATTTGTAAAAATATGTTTGTTGGGGGGGGGGGGAAGCTTATCTTTTCCAGGCAAAATATTCTCTTTAAAGGGACATCATAGAAGAAGTGGTGGAGGGTTTCTGCTATATACTGTCCAGAGTCAACCCCAAAGGTGCTTTTTTAAAAGGCAACTGGACTTTCTTTGTTTTTCCTTGAAGATGTTTTGCTTCTCATCCAAGAAGCTTCTTCAGTTCTGACTGAATGGTGGAAAATGAAGGCTTTATATTCCTTGCAGTTATCTAGTTGTTAGCCTCTCTCTGAGAGTTGTTGAGGCCATTTGGAGGTTTATCTTTGCCCTCAAGGTCACCTGAATAATGCAAAATGGTGTGGAACCTTCTTGAAACTGCTGAAAGGATTGTGTTGTAAACAGGGGACAGGTAATGTCATATCCTTCCCCCTCTGTTGAGAGAGGGCGGTTCAATTTTAACATAGATGGACAACCATGAACTGGATGACTGAGAATCTCCATAGACATCTCCAGAGTCAAGCAAACCTGGTTCTTGAATTTGTAGTTCCCAAACGAGCAAAAGCTCACCAAGTTGAAAACGGCTGCTTTGAATGCTTTTGTAGAGAAAGAAAACGTATCAAGTACTTTTTTAAAAAGCAATTATTAAAATTATTTTTCTTATTTAAATTAATGTAATGCCTAACATGCTACCCATGTCTGCCCGTTTGTCATTTCAAAGGAGCCTGATGTGGAGGCACTGGCAAAGCAAGCAGAAGAAAGGAAAGAAACAGCAAAAAAGCGGTATAAGGAAGCACTGAAAAAACAGAAGAGTCAGAAGGAGAAATTCCTGAGAGAACAAACCAGGTAATATTAAAAGGTTCTTCCTTGTGTATGTATTTAAGTTTGAATCCAACATTAACATGACTGTCCAACTGAGCATGTTGATTTTGCCCTCCCCTCTAGTCACTTGCAAAAGCTGAAAATTATAAACTGGGATATTAGAAAAAAATGCCAGAATTGGGGAGTACCTCCACACTTTTTTTTAAATTTTATTTATTTATTTATTGACTGATTGGCTGACTTGGATTTGTTGTATGCTGCTCTAATATACATAGATTTTGAGTGGTTCATAAAACCTACAACAAAATAGCAAAGAAATAAACAAGTAAATAAATTGTGAACCCAAAGGTGTATTCAGACATCAGAAACAGACTATAAAAGGGGGCCTCCCTCTTTGCAGCAGTTCGATATCCAAAGCCCTTTGGAACAACCAAGGCTTAATAATTTTTCAGAGTATAAACAGGGAGGAGTGTAATCCTTAGTGGAACTATATCAACACAGAGAGAAGCATCCAGTGCCTCAATATTCAGTCTTTTGCCCAGTACTCTTCAGCATCTTCATAAATGATGTAGATGAGGAGAATAGAACTCATTAATTGCAGATGACACCAAGCTGGAGGGAATTGCTAACACTTTGGAAGAGAGACTCAAAAGGATCTTGACAGATTTGAGCTTTGGGCCCTATCCAACAAGATGCAGTTCAGTGGTGAGAAAAGTAAGATCCTACACTTAGGTAAGAGAAACCAAATGCATAGGTACAGAATAGATGGTACCTGGCTGAACAGAAGTAACTGTGAGAAAGATCCAAGTATCCTGGTGGACCACCACTTGAGCATGAGCTAGCAATGTGCTGCAGCTGCCAAAAAAGCCAGTGATGGGCTGCGTCAACAGAGGGATAGCATCAGGATCACGAGAAAGCGATAGTACTGCTTTATACAGCTCTAGTGTGGCTACATTTGGAAGACGGAGCACAGTTCTGGTCATCACAATACAAAAAAATGCTGAAACCCTAGAAAGTGTGCAGAGAAGAGCAACAAAGAGGATAAAGCAGGGGTGTCAAACTGTTGGCCCACGGGTTGGTTTCATCATACCGAAGCCGCGCCCACCCCATTGCCGGCAATGCAAAAAGTTGCGATATGTCACAACACGTCACACGACATTGCGAGTTTGACACCCATGGGATAAGGGATCTGGAGGCTAAATCTTAACAGTTGAGGGAGCTAGATATGTTGAGTCTATCAAAGGGAAGGATTAAGGGGGACGTGATAACTGCCTTCCACTACTTGAGGAACTGTCACAGAGAAGAGAGGATTCACTTAGTCTCCAAAGTACCAGAAGGCAAGACAAGAAGTAAATAGTGGAAGCTTGTTAAAGAGAGATCCAACCTAGAAGTAAGGAGAAATTTTATGATGGAACAATTAATTGGTGGAATTGCTTGCCTCTCAGAGTTGTGGATGCTTCATCACGGGATGGTATAAGGTCTGCCTTGAGTGGAGGGGTTGGACTAGAACATAGGTCCCCCACCCTGGTCTGTGGACCAGCAATGGTTCTGCAGCCCTCCAGGAACCAGGCCACATAGGTGAACAAAGCCCCATCCATGCACATATGGGATCCAGGCAGCACTCAAAACCAGCCCCCCCCCCCCGGTCCATGGAAAAACTGCCCTCCACGGAACTGGTCCCTGGTGCGCAAAAGGTTGGGGGCTAATGGACTAAAAGACCTTTGAGGTCCCTTCCAGCCCTTTGAGCTTGTGTTCTATATTGGGTCTCCAGGCCGTGGACCGGTACAGGTCCTTATTGTTAGGAATTGGGCCGCACAGCTGAAGGTGAGTGGCTGGTAAACACGAGATCTAGACTTTGTGTTTCTCCTCCCGCCCCTATCTGTGAAAAGTTTAAATTGTCTTCCTTGAAATTGGCCCTTGGTATCAAAGAGGTTGGGGGATCCCTGTTCTATGTAATCCTAGTAAAAATACTATTCCAAAGAAGGGGGGCTCTGAATGAGAAGGTTTCTAGCTCTATTGTCTTACTGGACTGGCAGAAACCACTAAGAATTGGCGGTTCCAAAGATACCTTGTCCCTATGGATGTAGGGCTCTATAGGTGACAACCCATAAGATAACCACCTTGAACTGATGCCTAAAAAGTAACCAAGTAATGACCACAGCTCTGAATGGGGAGAGTATTACATGAGAATTCCTAGTGGTAATTATCACAACTTGAGCTGCTGCATTCTGAACTGGATCATTTCCAGGTAGCCTTCAAGGGTAGCCCCATAGAGAATGGATTGAGGTAGTCCAAATGAAAGGTACCTACGCTTTGAGTGATTGTAAGTAGGACTTCTTGGTTCTTCAGGTAAAACTGTAAGTGATGCCCAGGATATAATTGTCTGAAGGCCTCCTAACCACAGTTGTTATCTGCTCCTCAAGTCAAGATTATTGACCAGTTCTGGAACATTTAGAATAGAATAGAGCTGGAAGGGACCTTGGAGGTCTTCTAGTCCAGCCCCCTGTTCAAGCAGGAAAATCTATACCACTTCAGACAAATGGCTGTCCAGTCTCTTCTTAAAAACTTCCAGTGTTGGAGCATTCACTGCTTCTGGAAGCAGGTTGTTCCATTGATTAATTGTTATAACTGTCAATCAGTGGAACAACCTGCCTCCAGAAGTTCTAGCCAAGGTAGTGTGACCCGGTCCAGAAGCAAAGACAGCAAAAATTTATCTCTCCATTTGTGACATTTGTAGCTTAGAAGCCTTGGAAGAGAGCGGAGGGTCGGTTAACCTGTTCTATTTCTTGCTACCTATTGTCTAAACTAGGCGAGCCAATGCACGAAAGCATGCATTTGAGGTGGAAAGAGAAAGAGCAGCTAAAGTGGCGAGCCTGCCTCCTCCTCCCCCCCACCCTTTTGAAGTGAGTATTCTTTCCAAATAATTTACAAACTGCTGAAATTCCAGCACTCTTTAAAATGTGATCTTGTGATAATGGCGAATATAAGAATTTATAATAGGTCTAAGCATAATACGAATACCAGTTGGTTGATTGTAAGGGATTGGCAGCATGAGTGTTGAGTGATCTTTTAGCTGGTAATGAAGCCAAAGTTGTTAAAATCAGTTTGGTCCATTCAGATTAATTAGTACATACCCGTGTTACCCCGAAAGTAAAACCTACCTCGAAAATAAGCCCTAGCTTGATTTTTGGGAGTGGACCTAATATAAACCCTACCCTCCAAAATAAGCCCCAGTTTTGGGGCAAGGCACACACCTAAAAATCAAGCTAAGGCGGAGATGGGGGTGTGGAGTTGCCCTGTGCGCCCCACACCCACTTACCTGGCAGCCAGGTCTCTCCTTGGCAGCCCACTTCTGCGGTATCTTCTGCAGCCATGCCTGCATTTTGCAGTCAGAGCCCTTTCCTGAAGGCCTCTGCAGCCGAGAACCGAGCTATGGATTCAATGCATTGCTCGGTTATCGGCTGCAGAGGCCTTCTGGAAAGGCCTCTGACTGCGAAGTGCAGGCCTGAGCTCCATTCTCAGCTGTAGAATGAAGCTGCTCGTTTGGCCACAGAAGAAGGGCTGCCTGAGCGGGGCTGTCAGTGCTGGAGGTGAGTGGAAAAGACACCTCCCCCTCCAAAAATAAGACCTGGTGCCTCTTGGAGGAAAAAAATAAATAAGGCTGGGTCTTATTTTCGGGGAAACACGGTACATCAAATATACATTATGGCACCTGCTAAAGAAATTTTGAATGCTTTATGAAAAGATTTTATGTGCTTCAACATTTTTTCCTGTGCCATAATTCATTGAATGTTTTATGCAAAATGTTTCCTATAACTCTTTTTTTTTTTGCATAAGTACAGGTAGTCCTCAACTTACAACCACAATTGAGCTCAAAATTTATGTCACTAAGTGAGAAAATTGTTAAGTGAGTTTTGCCCCATTTTACATCTTTTCTCGCCACATTTGTTAAGTTGTTAGTAACATGGTTGTTAAGTGAATCTGGCTTCCCCATTAACTTTGCTTGTCAGAAGTTTGCAAAACAGGGAATCACATGACCCTGGGACACTACAATGAGCATAAATGTGAGTCAGTTGTCAAAGCATCCAAATGTAAATCATGTGACCATGGGGATGCTGCAGCGGTCATAAGTGTGAAAAATGGTCATAAGTCTTTTCAGTGCCATTGTAACGTCTAATGCTCACTAAATGAACTATTGTAAGACGAGGACTACCTGTATTACTGAAACATACACATGTAATTGTTTGAACTCATGCTACTGACAGAATCGGCATTGCCTCCTTTGTATTCAGTGGTCCTAATCAGAGATAATTAGTTCTTAAATGCATTGAAAGTTAATTGTTACAACTTCCTTAATTTCAGGGAAGTTTAAGCATGTCTAATTTAGATCAAAGCGAGAGCTTCTGGCTAGGATATTTTTTTTTGTACGCTATTTTGCTGCTTCAGAATATTATATATTGCAGTTAATCTCCTTTTCTGATAAATGTTTAGAACATTTTGTTGTTGTTTAATATTAAAAGTATGAGCTACAAGAGGAAAGGTGCATAAGTAAATTTAATCGCAGCTGGAAATTCTCTAGCCTAGTTGTTATTTGTCATCCTTCACAGAAGTGGGAATGGTGGTGAGGATATTAATGGCTACTGCTAGAAGGACCCCTAAGCTGGTATCTGAACACTACGTATTTATTATTTATTGCACCATCTAATTATGTTTGGTTTTCAGTCCATAAAAAAATATGACATTATTGTCATGCATTAATTTGCAGCATATTACAGATTGGAATATATTGAAAATGTAGGGTTCTTCTTAGGTATGCTATCTTCCTAAAGCTGTTTTATTACGATCATTAATTATGTATTTGCAATTTGTGCCGTTCATTATTTTTGTTGATAACTTGTGATAGTTTATCTCTGGCAGGATTTGGCATCTTATATACAAGAGATAGCCATGTAATGTTTGTTTTGTGACTTGTAATCTCAAAAATTCACTCTTGTAAAAGCAATGCATTATTTCAACTTTTTCAGAATATTGAATTGAAGACTCTACCTGCAGTGAAAACTAGTGATGTTGATAATTTTTCGATTAGTCGGCACCATATATTTGACCCATATGTGGACAGAGAAATGAGCACAGAACAGGTGATTTTCAGGTTGCACGTGGTATATTCTGCACAGTGACCGTTATGTATTTTATCTATTAATTGAACATGTTTATACTGTGCTTTTCAGCCACAAAGATTCTCAGGATAGAACGTATCAATAAAATGTCTCTGTTTCCAAGTTTATAATTTGGAGTAGGGGAGATAAACAAGGAAAATTAGTTGTTTGTAAGTTAGCAATTCATAGAGTTATAAACATCTATTTACCCGTTGAAATGAAAGCATTTTCTGATCATGCCCCAAAACGTCTTGTAATGACTAGCTGTGAAATAGTTAAAAAAAGGAAAGATCTTCCTATAATCGCTTTTATCTCAGTTGCATTAATGGAATGGCAGACCTTTTATCCTTCTGTTGTGCCCTAAAGGTACAGTGATGGATCACACTGTGAGGAAAGAAAAACCTCAGGTGAAGTTATCAAGGTAGCTTCTCGGTATATTAATGGGGTCCCGTTTCCTTCTGTCTCAGTTACAGCAAGATGGAAGAAGTCTAGAAAAATGTGGCCTCGTGAGTTTGTGCTGTAACTACAGAAAGTAAAGATTTGCACAAAGCCAACAAAAATAGATTCTCGCTTTTGTAAGGCTGAGAATAGGAAACTTGTTTCCAAAATTACAGCCGCTGTTTCTGGTAGGCATGTCATTAATAAAATGTCAAAATAAAAATGAAAACTTTTTATTATTATCAAAACAAGTGAGGACCGTTTCCCCCCCCCCCTTAATGTATACTTCTAAAAATTCTCAATTGGTGAACTAACTTAGCAATACTAATTTAGTACAATTGAAAAAGGTACTACACAGAGTGAATATGGACATAGAAGTAGTAGAGCTAGTACAGTGGTTCTCAACCTTTTTAATGCTGCTACTCAACCGGTCGTAAGTCGAGGACTACTCAACTGGTGCAGCACTGTTTGCAGAATGGGACTTTTGACGGGCTCAGCAGGGCAGAGACAGCCTGGACAATTCCTATGGGCTTTTGAAAGCCAATAGAATTAGACTCTATTCAAGAGAGTCTATTCTATTGGCTTTCAAAAGCCAATAGAATAAAAGGGAGTAGCACAGCTAAGGAAAAGGGGGGGGAAATGGCGGACTGTGTTGTTTGGCGACCCCCATGAAATGGTCGTTCGACCCCAAATGGGGTCCCGACCCACAGGTTGAGAACCACTGAGCTAGTAAGACCAACAATAGAATAGATGAAGACGAGACAATTTCATCCATATTTCTCTTTTCATTCCTCATGTCTTTGGGAATGGTCCCTTTTAAAGACTGCTCATGTGTGTGTATCTTTTTTCACTTGTCTTGTTGCATGTTTATATAATTCTCTAGAACAGGGGTGTCAAACTGCTGGCCCGCTGGCCGGATGCGTCACGCCAAAACCATGCCCACCGGCAATGGGAAAAAAGTTGCGTCACGTGACGTCGCGAGTTTGACACCTGTGCTCTAGAACATGATTTCCCAAACTTAGGTGTACCTCCCTTGGGGAGTCCTGGTGGAGTTTTGAAATTCTTTAGTTGTATATTATTATAATAAATCCACTTTCCCAAAGTTTCACTGAGTTGTGTTCATTGTTCATTTGTGTTCATTTTAGAGTTTTAGGGAAGATAAATACATTAAGATTACACTAAAGGGAGATGCTGTGGCAAAATTTTAAGAACCTCTAGAGGAGAGCAGTATAGATGCCATGCATGATTCCAGACTGTATGGCAGTGGTGGCGAACCTATGGCACATGTGCCAGAGGTGGTACTCACAGCCCTCTCTGTGGGCACATACGCCATTGCCCCAGCAGAGTTCGCCAGAGTAGCGAGCATGTGGTGTTTGGAAGCGACGGGGCAGGAAGTGAGCGAGCAAGCAGCATTGGCCCCCTGGGGATGCCCTGAAGAGTCCCTTGCCACCCTGGTCCCGGCCCACCCACTCCAGCTATGCCTACCCAGTCTGCCATGACCACCGCAGCTGTGATCACCGCAGCTAAGCCCACCCAGCGGCCATGCCCACCCAGCGGGCCCCGCCCCCCCGCTCCCCCTGAGAGCACCACAATGCTGATGCGGCCCTGGCACTTTGCAATAAATAAATGGGTTTTGGGTTGCAGTTTGGGCACTCGGTCTCTAAAAGATTCGCCATCACTGCTGTATGGGAATCTTTTGAGGTCCGAATATGTTGGGAGAATGTGTTACCATGCTTTTCCCAAGAAATACATGTCTCCATTATGGCAAATAGTAGCTGTTCTTTGGGACCATATCATTGGTTCACATGCTACATGTGGGGAGGGGGGATAGTCATCCCCCTTCCCCCCCATCTTAGAATTTTGACACTCTGTTGATTTAAAGCTGATAGATTCATGGTGGTTAAACAAGCACATCTCTTGGGGATTGAGGTTGATCCCAAGTTTGTTTTGATTTGATACATTTTAGCCATAGAATTTTTAATTATGATTTTTTTTGAGGCATGACAGAACTTGGTTGCTAACTAGTTGCTGGTTGGTTGTCAGCCAGATGCACGGTTGCTCGCCAAAGAGGAAGCCAAACAAAAGGAAGAGCTGCAAAACGACAAAGAAAGAGAAAAGAGAGAACAGCTGGAAAAAGCTTATTTGAGAGGGAAACATGCCTTGAAGATGGTTCGACTGGCGAGAGTAAGTAAAATGTAAACCTTGTGCTTTTTCAAACACGAGTAATAAAACGAGAATTAATAATTGCAAATGATATCATAGCTTCGATTGCTTTAAGAAAAAAAAAATCTTAACATTGTTGTAAAGTATTTTGCTAAAATGTTTTGAGGTATTTTACCTTTAGCTTCCAGATTTGTACTTGGAACGTTCTTTCTGTTGTCAAAGTAGAAATACATTTGATGATCTGAAAAGCTATCCTACAGTAATTCAGGCAGAGAGGAAGGGAGGTTTGGGGTTTGAGGCTATAAAAGTGATGAAACACAAACAGTATCTATGGGTGAAAAGTTGGCTATTAGCTACTCTGTTGTCAGACCTGCGGCCACTTAAACTAATAGAAACAATCCTTGGCTCCATTTGTTGAGAAAGGTATAGTTTTATTACAAGTCAAGTGTATTGCAATAACCCATAGCCAGAACTGAGAATTGCGGGCCAAAATCCGCAAGTTCAATTTTTCAAGCATTGAGGTGGCAGTTGGTGCAAACTGAATCTTAAATATAGTAATCTTTACAACATGACTTATTTTCAGGCAATTTTTACCTAATAACAATAACCAAAACTTGTACTGAAATACTTAGCAAAGTGTTCGCCATTATACTTGTATTAGGAAAAAGATATGTGATGCCCAGTAGTTCTTTATTGAGAGATAAATATGCAAAGCACGTGTGGAGGCTGAGGATATGAATGTACTCGCACTTTTGTATGCAAATGATAGCGCTATTGGTAGAGAACACAAATAATTTGCTGTGAAAATTAGTTAAATTATATAGTACAGTGAGCAATATGGATCTATAACTTAACGCAGTGGTTCTTAACCTGGGCGATAGTGCCCCCCAGGGGGCGATTTCATTTTTCAGGGGGGCAATGGAACGAAAAGGGGCAACACAGGGGCGAAGGAATGAAAATGGGGCAATATGGGGGCAATGGAGCAAGAAGTTTTGGGGACACTTTTGAGACTTTTTCGTACATTGAATCGCTGTATATCTGTCATACAAAAACATCAGATTGCTCGCTAAATTGTGTTTTCAAATGTTCCTCCAGCTAGCTTCAGTACAGAACGCCATACATATGTGAATACGCATCGCTTATCTTCATGCGCGTTGCGCAGCAGCCTCTACCCATACAGTGGCATGCCATTGGCCAGAATATGTGAGATATGGGGAAAAGACTGGAAATAAATTATTTGCATCGATATGTCCTGATGACAATTTTAAAGAAAACAAAAAAAGTGTTTGTATAAATTGAAGAATTGTTTCCTATGTTGTGATTGAGAGGTTATGTTGGGGGAGGGGGGCGATGACAACTTCCTCTTTGGCTCAAGGGGGCGATTCGTTCAAAAAGGTTAAGAACCACTGACTTAACGTATCAAAGACCAAGATTTTTAGTGTTGGTCTGGAAAATGCAGTAAACAACTGCAAATTATATCTGTATGCAGTGTGTAGAAAAGCTAGAGCAAGTGAATGCATTTATCTTGTATACCTTGTTCAAATAGTTCTTCATCATCTACCAGATTCTGATATGGAAAAAAACGAGTGATCTGTTGCAAAGAATAAATATTTGACAAGAGAGGTAGAAATGTTGTGTATAGCAGTGTGGTTTTTTTTATGGATATGAGGCTTGGATACGCCAAGAGAGACATAAAATATGTTAGATTTGCTGGAAATGGCTTAGTTAAGATACGTGTGCGATAAAGAAAGAATTATATAATCAAGATTGAATAGGTGCCAAATGAATGGATTACAAAAATGAGTGATCAGTGTAAAAGAAGTGAGTTGAAGTGGTTTTTTTTTTATTTAAAATTTTTTAAGTTTTACAAAAAAATTCCCTTCCCCAAACCCTCTCAACCCTCCCCTACCCTCCCCCGACCTTCCCAGAGCTGAATACAGGCTTAATTAAAAATTTTTTTTAAAAAAAATCTTAAAACACAAACCATAAGCAAATCTAAATACATTGATTAAACAAATTATAAAATAGTTAACAACAATATATAAAAAAAAACGAAGTGGTTTTTGTCATATAGAGAAAAGCAATGAGATTTACTTGTTACTGGCATTTAGTATCAATTGTGAACAATTGTGTTTGCTATTTATAACAAAGTAATAACCGTAGAGAAGAGGGACAATATTTATACAGGTGCATAAACATAAAAAAACTTTTCTGATCGGTAGCTATTGAACTCAGAATGAATCTCGGTCCTGAGCGGAAAATGCAGACTTTCTGTATCTCTTATCCAATAGCCATGAAGGCTTTTTAAAAAATTTACATTTTTTTTTAAAAAGTATAAACATATTCACACAATTAGTTTCCCTGTAAAAGTTAATAGACCGCCTTTCATATTGAATTCTTTCTGCACCTGCTGCTTGCTGGCTCCTCCCTCCTTCCACTTCCTACTCTTGGTTTTGTCCTTGATCCCCTTGCCCAGCTATTCACCCGCTGGAAGCTCCTGGCATGCTTACCTTCAGTGCCCCATTCCGCCAGCCAAAACGATGGGCTGGATGTAAATCAAGTGCAGATACTCCTCCTTCAGAACTGTTTGAAGTTACAGTGGCAGTGAGCAAGAGGACTTACGACTATTCTTCATAGGTGCAGCTGTTGCAGTATCCCTGCAGTCATATGATCGCAACCTGGCACCCAGCTCACTATTACAATGGTCCCAGTGTCCTCCTATCACAGTGTTTCTCAACCTTGACAATTTTAAGGCATGTGGACTTCAACTCCCAGAATTCCACAGCCAGCATTGCTGGCTGTGGAATTCTGGGAGTTGAAGTCCACATGCCTTAAAATTGTCAAGGTTGAGAAACACTGTCCTATCAGGTGATCCCTGTTTCTGACCTTTACTGCCGGCTTCCTGCAAGCAAAGCCAGAGGGGGAAGCTAATCGGAGGTTGTCAGCAATCACCTGACTGTGGAATGTAAGTTGGCATAGTAACATGATGTCACATTACTGTCACTAAGCAAGGACTACTTGTAATAATAATAAACCTTTTATCTTACTCTGGGATCTTATCTTATGACTGAGTATTGTATCTTATGATTTATGATGATTGTATTTATGATTATGATCATGATTTATCACTTGTTGCTTGCATGTACACTGAGAGTTTATACACTGGAGACAAATTCCTTGTATGTCCAATCACACTTGGCCAATAAAGAATTCTACTCTACTCCACTCTACTCCACTCCACTCCACTCTACTACTGTTTTCCTATATAACCTCTAATCTGTTTTGGTAACCCCCAACACCCAGATTCTAGCACCCAAATTATGTCTCCGCTTCTCATAGCAATCCCCTACCGGTTTGCATCAGCTAATTACAGTCCCCTCTGTTATATGCTGTATAAAAACAGTAGTAAAGCAAATAAATGAGTGAATTACTTCCAATTTGTATCGAAATTTGGTAGGCTGCATGACATACATCTAGATTTAAGTAGAAATACCCTTCTGAGGTATATAAAAGCTCTTCTTTCTGGAAGTTTATATGTTTCTTCACTTTCTCTATTAGGGATTAATTTATTTGTGATATTCTACTAATTCAGGAGAAACATTAGAAAATTGAGTTAGTAAGGGAGAGTGTATATGGGTTTACCTTCTCAGAATGCCTAATGTAATTTTAATGTACCTAATGTTGCAGAAAAAGGAAAGCATTAATGTTTCATTTTGAGTAGCAGTTAACAATAGATCTATTCAGCACACAAGAAAATCATCAGAATCGAAGCTATCATTTCATAATGAAGTATGACTAATAAAAGTTTGCTTTGGGCTATTAATCATCTTGAAAAAAAGGAAGTCACATGTTACTGTTTGAAGCAATAAGTTTTACAAAATAATTTGCTTCAGAGTAAACTTGCATTTTTGTATAGATTACATTAACATCTATATATGTATGAAAACTTAACCCTATGATTTATACAGCTGAAGCTGCATTCTCATTAATAAATATGCCCTCGTTGCCTTTCAATTGATTTCTTTCTGAGAAGTCTTTTTTTACAAAAAAAACCCCACCCCTGTATCAAAATTGACAGTCACTTTATGTCAATAAACTGATGTTTTTAGGAATGACTTTTTAACAAAACATCTCTGCTTTAAAGGACAAGGAAAAGTTAATGAAAGAGCTTGAACAGATGCAAAATGTAGACCTGGCCCACAGAAGGCGGATCGTTGCCCAGATGCCCCCGCAACTCTTTGAACCGACCTATAGACGTGTGGAAATCAAAGAAGAATGGCAGAGGGAGCTGGAGTGCGCCTTTGAAGACATGTACACTGGAAACATGAGTGAGCCTAATTTAGAACTGTAGACTTTTAACTGTACTCGAGGTTGATTCAGCTTTCCATCTTTCCAAGGTCAATAAAACCAGGACCCAGATTTTGGGAGGCAAGATGTTGACTCTGTAAACTGCTTAGAGAGGGCTGTAAAAGCACTGTGAAGTGGCATATAAGTCTAACCGCTGCTTCTATATTGAAGTCAAAACATAGACATTTTCAGAGGAAAATACCCTTTCACGAGTGATGTCCAGTCCAGTCACTGCCTCACATGAAATGTCTGTGTACTCTAGAACAGGGCTTTTCAACCTTTTCACCCATTGTACCACTTTTAGGATATGGTAATATCTGAGTACCACCAGTCACCTAGCAAGGTGTCAAAAACTTGATGATCAAAAAAAAAAAGGAAAAAAGTGATAAAGTATAGGTAGTCCTTGACTTACAACAGTTCGCTTAGTGACTGTTCGAAGTTACAATGGCAGTGAAAAAAATGCCCCCCAAGCCACAGCCGAGCAAGACACCTGTCTGCCCACCCAGCGGCGCTCTTCCTCCTGTCCGAGGTTTTCATTGTTGTGAGCATTTCTGTTGAGGATTGGCAGCGGGGATGGGGTGGGAGGGTGTTTGGTTTTTATTCCCCCCATCTGCTGGGTGGTTGCAGCAGGTTTTGGTCACTTCACATGACCCTGGGACACTGTGACCATCATAAATATGAATCAGTTGCCAAGAATCTGAATGTAAATCACAAGACCCTGGAGATGCTGCAACATTCCAACTGATCGGCGCTTCTTCTATGCTCAGAAGCGCCAAGATCAGTGCCGCTTTCCAGCTGATTGGTGCTTCTTCAGGGCTCAGTTGGAGCCTGGCGCTGATCCTGGCGCTTCCACTGATCCCTGACAGTCCTGAAGAAGCACCGATCAGCTGGAAAGCGGCACTGATCCTGGTGCTTCCGCTGAGCCCTGACAGCCCTGCAGCTCTGCAGCTCCAGCCATCTCTCACTCAGGCTTGTACACTGGTTCAGCTCATTCCCCTCCCCCGCTACCACTTTTCTAGGATGGTCGCGTACCACCTGCCAGGTGCCAATGTACCACATATGGTACCCGTACCACTGGTTGAAAAGCCCTGCTCTAGAATAAGCATTAAATTTCTGCAGTGTGGGTTTTTTTGTTTCCAAAAAATAAATTAACAAGTCTCTTCAAAAGACACATTGGCATATTGTCAGACACAGGTAGGTTTTAGTTAATAACCATTCATTTAGCAACTGTTTGAAGTTATAACTACACTGGGGGGAAAATTGCGGCCAAATTACATCCTTCTCATTGTCTTTACATACAATAAGCCCCCTTATTCTTCTGTGCCTTACCAGTGGAGTTTTTTTATTGTTATTAATCCCTCCCCCCCTCCCCATTGCATTGAAGAGAAACTGGAGAAGAAGGAATTGGAGGAGAGTAAACTGTTTGCTCTTCCACACATCAAAAGCAGTGTAATCATGCTGGGAGCCCAGGGCTGGGAGCCAAGGCATGCTACACAAATAGCTTACTGTATTCTCTTGCAATCCCTTTCTCTCTGATCACTTTGCTCGGCAAGGGGAGTGGAAAGGACAAAGAGGGATTGCCTACAAAAATCATTTGCTTCCCCCCACCCACCCAAAGAGCAGAGCATTTGGAGAAAAAAAGCAATTTCAGAAGAGTAACTGTTTGCATAACATGCCCACATCTCCCAGCTATAGGTTACCGGTGTACGGGAAGTCCTCAACCTATGACCACAATTGAGGTCAACATTTCCCTTGCTAAGCAAGACAATTGTTAAGTGAGTTTTGCTCCATTTTATGGCCTTTCTTTCCAGAGTTAATCACTGCAGTTGCTAAATTAGTAACACAGTTGTTAAGTGAATCTGTGAATCCCCATTGACTTTGCTTATCAGAAGGTCACAAAAGGAGATCACATAACCCTGTGACACTGCAATTGTCATAAATAACATGCCATTTGCCAAGTGTCCAAATTTTGATCAGGTAACCACGGAAGTGCTGCAAAGGTCATTAAGTGTGAAAAATGGTCATAAGTCATTTTCTCAGTGCCATTGTAACTTCGAATGTTCACCAAACGAATGGTAGTCGCACGGCTTTTGGTGTGTGGAAGACAGCAAGCAGGCATTCTAAAGGGTTTGAGAGTGGTTAGGAGGGAAACAAAAGCTAAAGATGTTAAATTGATCCTTGTCTCTAGCTGGAAAGCATAGTCATGGTCACATGATTTTCCACTTAGTGACTGCTTCCCAGTTAGGGTGTTTAATGAGAACTTCCTGCGTTGATGCTGGGAACCCCTACCAGTTTAGTGAGCCTTGCACTGGATTCCATCTAGTTGCAGTGGAAAAACTTAATATTAGAGACTTACAGTGAATCTGTGCCCATGGCACTTTCTTGGATCATTTGGATGCTGCTCTTGATTAATAAATTGCAGCTGACAGCCCAAATAAATTAGTTTCTACATGAGTAAGAAGGAACCAAGAAGCACATACCGTAGTTTTCCTATCCTAATCTTTGTTCTAATGTTTATGATTTGGAAAAGAAATCCATTTGGGAATCCCATAGGTTTGCTTTTAAGTGGATGGTGTTTCACATTTTAACAGAAATGTATTTAGGGCATAGTTTGACAATGGTATTCACTTGCTAATTCTTAACAGCAGATGATTACAATTACCACATGGCTGAAGCTCTCATTATAAATTGTCTCACCATGAGATAATTTTATCTTAGCTCAGTTAACCACGAATAGAAATAGAAATTGAGGTAGTGGGATTTTTTTTTTTTTTACTCTATAACTTAGACCATTATAATTTGGAAAAACAAAATATTGCACTGTTGGTTTCATGTTGCTGTTTCTTTACGCAGAAATGAAAGGAGATCTTATTTTGCACCTTGATCCACAGCCTTTGCCAGCTCCCTCCGATGCATCTCAAGATGATGAACTAGAACTTTCCCAGGAACCAGAACCTGTATGTGACTTGCCTCCAAGATTGGAAAGTGAGATGGAGGGCAATGAGCCAAGCGGTATGAAGAATTTTTTTTTGCTAAGAACTGAAAGCTGTAATCCAGCACTTTGTTACAGTCCATGCGTGTGAACTGGCCAGCAGGATAGAAACCTCACTAAATCAATAAATAAAGCTTTGAGTTTTTTCAGGACATGCTTAAAAAGTTAATGGGACAGCAACAAAGCTCCACTGAAGGCACAAGGGGGTCCTTCCCAGGAGTGCCAAGTATTAATACCACTTTACAATGCCTTGGTAAGGCCACACTTGGAATACTGCATCCAGTTTTGGTCACCACCAGATGTTGAGACTCTAGAAAGAGTACAGAGATGTTGAGACTCTAGAAAGAGTACAGAGAAGAGCAACAAAGATGATTAGGGGACTGGAGGCTAAAACATACAAGGAACAGTTGCTGGAATTGGGTATGTCTAGTTTAATGAAGAGAAGGACGAGGGGGGACATGATAGCAGTGTTCCAATATCTCAGGGGCTGCCACAAAGAAGAGGGAGTCAAGCTATTCTCCAAAGCGCCAAGGACAAGAAGCAACGGATGGAAACTAATCAAGGAGAGAAGCAACCTAGAACTAAGGAGAAACCTCTTAACAGTTAGAACAATTAACCAGTGGAACAACCTGCCTCCAGAAGTGGTGAATGCTCCACCACTGGAAGTTTTTAAGAAGAGACTGGACAGCCATTTGTCCAAAATGGTATAGGGTTACCTGCCTGAGCAGGGGGTTGGACTTGATGACCTCCAAGGTCCCTTCCAACTTTTTTTATTATTATTATTATTATTGATCATTGCACAGTCAGCCAGATATTCAGACTGGATTTGGCATTTTGTCTACCTATCGAGTCCTTACCCAGGACCTGGGATAGGCAGATGTGGATGTTTGATGTATTACAGGTATCGTCGCAGGATGGAAGCAGTTCCTAGTAAGGCCGCCTTTTGCAATTGACTAATGGCAAATTTGTCAATGCCCATGGTGTTCAAATGGTGCTCCAGTTGTTTTGGGATTGCACCCAAGGCGCCTATTACTATTGGTACTACCCTTGCTTGCTTTTGCCACAGTCTTTCTATTTCTATTTGTAGGTCTTTGTATTTTGTTATCTTCTCCAGTTCTTTCTCTTCTATTCTGCTGTCTCCAGGCACTGCCACGTCCACTATCCAGACTTTTTTGTCTTTCTTATCGACAATTGTTAAGTCTGGGGTGTTATGTTGCAGGTGCTTGTCTGTTTGAATTCTGAAGTCCCAGAGCAGTTTAATTTTATCATTTTCTATGACTTTCTCTATTTTATGATCCCACCAGTTTTTGCTTACAGGCAAATGATATTTTTTGCAGATCTTCCAATGCACCATTGTTGCTACTTTGTCATGCCGCTGCTTGTAATCAGTCTGTGCAATCTTCTTGCAACAGCTTACCAAGTGGTCCACTGTTTCTTCAGCTTCTTTGCATAGGCGGCATTTACTGTCTGTTGCTGTCTTCTCAATTTTGACTTTGTATGCATTTGTCCTTAAGGCTTGGTCTTGTGCAGCCAGAATTAGTCCCTCGGTCTCTTTCTTCAATTTTCCTGCTCTTAGCCATTGCCAGGTCTTGTTATTATCTGCTTTCCCAGCTATTTTTTTAATGTATTGGCCATGTAGTGCTTTGTCTTCCCATGCCTCTATTCTGTTCTTCATTTGGTCTTTCTTGTAGGCCAGTTTGGTCTCTCCAGTAGTTAGTAAGCCTTCCTGATATACTAATTTCAGTGCATCTTCATCATTGTTCTTCAGATATTCTTCCAAAGCCATTTTTTCTTCTTCAACCATCTGATGTACTTGTAGCATTCCACGCCCACCTATTTGCCTTGGTAGATAAAGTCTATCAATGTCACTGCGTGGATGAAGGGCATGATTCATTGTCATTATTTTTCTGGTCTGCCTATCCATTGCTTTTAGTTCTGCTTGAGTCCAGTCCACTATTCCAGCTGTGTACCTAATGACTGGGATTGCCCAGGTGTTGATTGCCTTTATGGTATTTCCTCCATTGAGTTTGGACTTTAAGATCTTCTTCACTCCCTTGATGTATTCATCTCTAATCTTTTTCTTGACTTCAGTATTATTATTGTTATTATTAAGTTTGTACTCTCTACCAGTCAGTTGAACAGGAGGAAAGGCAAGGTAATTCTGCTCCCATGGTGCAGAAAGCTACCTCTGACTATATGGGTCTTGCTGGCCCCAATGCTTTCTGTTCAAGTTGACACTCAGCTTTACCCTACTCAGAAACTGATAGTTGCCAAATCTTGATCATGCCCCATTTCCATATTGTTACCAAGGAAACTGCAAGGATGTGCCCAGGTGGTCAGCAGAGGTGAAGCTCAGCTCAGCTCAAGCTTAAATTGAACTAGTTGAATCTTGTGCAATAGTAGGCAGCATGGTGACCAGGCTTAGCATGAACACTTGGTTTGATTCATACACTATCATAAATTGTGATATTGTTTGTTGGCTCAGCAAGGTATATGGCTTAGCAAGTTGTGTGAATGCTGTCAATACACCAGGAACCTAAGCTGTGCATTTGGGATAAATCCTTCTGAACTGGTAGATTCTCCAAGTTTTATTTAAAATGCCTGCTCTGTGGCACTTTGCATTCATCATTTTGTGATCAGCCTTTGTGGGTTGCAATATTTAAGGACTGCAGGATAAAATCCTTAATAATTATTCCCTGCTTAAAATGTAGCTGTTAAGGCAGTTTTCCTGAAATAGTAACAGTTTTTAAATTTTTGGTATCACAGAAGCAACTTGTTATAATATTCACTTGTACAATAACTATAGCCAGAAAGCTGCTGCTTCTCTTTAGTGCTTTCAAATTATTATTGCAGTTCATTTTATTTTTTTATTGTTTTAGGTAGCGAAATGGAAAAGATATGCCAGCCTCCGGCAAAGCTAGCTCTAAAAAAGTTGCTAAACAAGATACGGAACCAAAAAGACCTTTGGACATCAAGATGTGACTCAGAGGCGCGAAGTGACATCGGGACAATTGAGTCAGGGACCATTTCTGGTGGAGGAGAAAAAGCAGAAGGATTAGCATCAGTGCCTGAACCTGAATCCAAGCGTGATCTTGCTGCTGAACCTTTTGAAGGTACAAGTTTTTTCCCCCCCGTAATTTGTCTGTACATCGGACTTGAGAAACTGACCAAAATGATAATGGCTTTTAAAAAAGAAAAACAAAGAAATCCACCAGCCTATGGCATCCCCGTTTTGTTCATGCTTCAGTGAGAAGGAATTGGGTTGCTGCAACTTAGATTCAGGAAGACTTTTGAAGAAGTAAAAAGAAAAAAAAAAGTATAGAATGTTGATGCATTGTAGTTGAATTTTATAAGGAAAAATCAGAAGCATAAATTATTAAACCTCAATATGGCGGACCTCTTTTAGTAAGATCCATATAAAGAATTTACTTGCGTTTATGTGCCGTTTACCATATTCTCCCTAAATTCCTTCCCATCTTAGTATTCTCCTATCGTTTTAAATGTTTAATAATGTATGTTTTGCTTAAATTATTCAAACTGTTGCAATCTAATATTTTTGTTTTATGTATTTTAGGGTTTCCAGAAATACTGGACCAAACTGTTGTTGCTGGAAATGAACTTATAAAACAAGCACAAGAGCAAACCACTAAAATTAGAAAGGAATTAGAAAGATTCACACAGGTACAGCTGTTTTTAGCACTATCAATACCTTAAGCGTTTTTGTAACATTGTTTTTTCATATTTGAAATATTTTAAGTGTTACTTTGGTTGGGAATTATATTTAGCGCTTGTTATTTTCAAATTGCATTATAATTCCTTTGTCCCTTTTTTGGGGTTTCAGAAGGCGTAGTATTTTTCGTATAGTGATATGTTTTACCTGGAAATCTACGAACATGAAAAAGAACGTTTGAATCAATAGCACAGGATGTAAATATACGATGTATCAAATAATATCTAACAATAAAACTATTAAATGGGTGAAGATAAGGACTGCTGGATCAGGCCAGGCCGTTTCCTGTAATCTAGAAGTGGCATGAACATGACAGCCTCATCTGCTGGATTCCTTAATAACTGAAGTGGATATGCCTGTGATTTTCCTATTTGAGGGAAACTGCCTTAACAGCTGTATTTTTAAGCAGCAAATATTTAAACATTTTAATAATTAGTCCAATAGCAGTCTAAAGTAGTCTGCAGGATACCTTTTTCCATTTTGCAATATTAGATAAGTGAAGAAAGAAACCCACACAGGTCTTAAAGGAACAATGAATATTAGTCAATATAAATCTGCATCTGCACATTTGAAAGTTATGATCATGCAAGGTTAGCAAATGCAAAAGTCAAGCTTCGGCTACAGAGATCAGATTTAAGCAGCCATATTTAATTCATAAGAGTTCTTCCTACCATTCATGAATATGTTATAAACAATGCATAGACAAGCTGACTGTTTTTCACCATGTGTGTGGTTGGTTTTTTTTTTTGCATAGCGCTTGTGTTATAAAATTCTATTAAATTTTACTTAGATGTTTTTACATTTTGCTTTGTTTGATTTGTATATATGTTTTATTTTAATTTGTAAGTGTCATTAAATTAAAACAATTATTTTAAAAAAGACTGAATGTTGTTAATTCAAATATTGAACTTTGGTGCATCGCTATTATAAAAGATGAAGGCAATGCAGGTAGTCCATGATTTGTGACCACAGTTGAGTCCAGAACATTTGTCATTAAGCAACACCATCATTAAGTGAGGCATCATGAGACCACACTATATTTTATCATTTTTGCCATAGTCTTCTAGTGAATCACTGCAGCCATTAAATAAATCGGGCTTTCTGCGTTGACTTTACTGGTGGGAAGCCATCTGAGCAGATTGCAAATCATGGTGATGTGACTGCGGAACACTGCAACCGTCATAAATGTGAGCTGGTTTGCCAAGCATCCAAATTGTGATCACAGGACTGCAAGATGATGCAGTAATCCTAACCTTAATGATGGGCCATGTCACTTTTTTCAGTGTCATTACAAGTCTGAGCTGTCGTTAAACCAATGGTTGTAAATTGAGGACTATCTGTAAGAATTGCCTGTTTATATATGACTCTTATGTAGTCTCTTTTAAAACAACCTGGGGATCTGGATTAATACTGGTAAAAAAAGTATTAGTGCTCTCCTAGCAATATGCTTAACATTTCTGCCAGGTATTATTTTGAGAAAACTGAGTCCGCCTGCCATTAACATAGGATTCCTATTTGCCTGACTAGACAGAGCAGCAACAACAGCAGCAAACAACAGAGCAAAAAAGACAGCTAGAAGTTGATTTTCTGAAGCCTAAAGTGCAACACCAAGAGCAGGAAGCTAAGACAGAGCAGGAAAAGAAAGATCAAGAATGTCAAACAGAACAAAACGTTTTTGATTCTGTTGTGCATCACAAGCAGGAAGCAGAATACAAGGTACAAGTAATGCAATTAGATAATTTGGTGATAGAGATTATTCTCCATGCTCATGGTCAGTTTGTAAGGGTCTATGACAATTCGCCCCAGCCAGCTCACCGTGGCCAACTAGCTACAGCTAACTTGCCATGGACAAGAGTTACACTAATATCAAAAAATAGTGGAATAGAATCATTAAAGAAGAGATGCAAAAACAGGGACAAAAGGAAATGTGAATGGCTAAATTTAAAATATTTTTCTATTTATTTTAAATAAATTGAATTGTTAAATTGCCTCGCAGCAAGTTGTCCCACAGCGGGTTGGCCATGGTGAGTCGTCCTGTGATGAGCTGGCCGTGGTGAGTTGTCCCATTCCGATTTTGTAAAAGTAGTGGCCAGATTTGTAAGTCTAGTGTTTAAGTTGACAACACAAGTACCCAGGGATGCCAGTGCATCTGCAGACACATTTCGTGGCACCCACCAGGAGTTGGGTGGCATATATACTTAGTATATTATTAATCTGAGTATTAGAATCTTCCTATTAAAAACGTTTTAAATAAAAAAACTAATAAAGTCACTATTTAAAATTCGTTTCATCCCATGATAAATTGTGTTCCAGAATTTCTAAACTTCCTGATATTGTCGTTAGGTAGGGAAGAATAACCTAATAAATGCATTTCCAGCAGATTTTTAGATCTGTCTTTTTAAATCATTCTTTGGGATGTGTTATAATTAGAAGTTAATAAACAGAGGTATAAAATTGCAGTGTAAAATAGGATGGAATAATGTAACAATCAAGGAAACTTTATTGTGTTTCTGAGCTTGGGGTGCTGAATGCATTAAGGCACCTGATTGCTGGCTGTATTTACTAACTGGCCAAGTACATTGACTGCTATGTGTATTTATTTAGGATGTTTATTTTTTTAAATTTTTTTTAGTATTTTAATTGTAATATATTTTTTTTTAATTGTAAACTGCCCAGAGTCATTGACTAAGATGAATGGTTATAGAAATTGATTGATTGATTGAATGAATGAATGAACGAATGAGTAAGTAAGTTTCCTGCTCACTGGAATATACCTCAAGAAAATTGCATGCTGTGACAGTTTATTACACATCCATTCGTCTATCATATTTATATACCTGCCCATCTAACGGAACATCTGGGCAGCATACAATAAAAAGCATAAGACAATAATTTAAAAAGAATTAACAAGTTAAAAAATACTATAATTATTTTTATAAAGCAAGAAGAGGACAACAAATAGCATTGGAATCACCTCAGCAACTCATAATTCCTTTGGAACTCCCACAGCTGATGGCATAATCAGGTTTTGAGGGAACTTACAAAAAGTGAACAGGGATGGAGCCAACCTCACTTTGCTTTAGGAAGTTGCTTTGGCGGAAAAATTATACTTCTCCACAGACCTATTGCAATGCATTACTTTTTTGAATAGTGTTTGAAGCTACTTGGTTTAATTTTTAATTAATTAATTTTTAATTAATTAAATTCAATTAATTTTTTTCTTTAGACTGACATTGCCGAGGAGTCACAGGCAGCCTGGTTTCCTAAAGAGGATGACCATCTAAAGAGGATTCATGACTGTCAGCAACGTCTGCTGATGCAAAACAGGTAGGGGGGTTTTTTTGGGCGTTGGAGGGTCAAAATGTAAATCTTGGGATTGAATTTTATTGGCCCCTTTTAACACTTAGAATGCTGTTCTGTTTAATCGCGTAATATGCCTGTTGTTTTAGGATGCATCAAGAATCGGTGGACGAAGCCAGAAGACAATTAGAAGTATATCAGAATAAATTGCAACAGAGATTCCAGTCAGTTTCCAGGGCATTGTTCAATCCCGAAGACAGGCTTGCAAGCCTGAATTCTCTGCCTGATCCATTGTCACAAGCACAGGAGTTGCATCCATCACAGAGAATTAAAGCGACGACTTGCAAGCCGTCCGAGAAGGTTTCTGTTCAAGAACTGGCACCATCGTGGCAGAAAAACAAGGGGCAGAGGCTTGAAGTCGCCACTGACGAGCCCAGGGTTGATTCTGAAAGGCAAGTGCAGGAAAATCAAAGATGTTTTCATTTGGCGCAAGGATCCTCTTCACATCAAGAGAGAGAAAAACTGGATGCAGTGGGAACAACTGTGGTGCAGTCACTGGAATTCCACAAGATTCCTGGATCGTTGTTGCCAAAATCTGAGGATACCTCGGCTACCACCCAACCTGTCGCTCACATTCCAGATGCCCGATTCGTTTTACCTGAAGGTGATTCTCCAGGGGCTTCAGAAACCCTCTTCTCCGAAGCACCCATGCCTGACAAACCCCTAGCTGAAAAGATTCTTTTGCCAACGTTCTTAAAACACCGAGATATTCCGACGGAGAACAGGATAAACCCAGTTTTTAACCAGGCCCGCCATCTTCCTTTCCATTTGATTTCTTCCTCGCCGCCTCCCATCATGGCCAAGACCAAGAGCATCCAGGACCCCTCGGCATCGAAAAAGGGACCTGAAGTTTTGCCCGGTTGTTCCGATCTAGTAGAATTAAGAGACCAACTGCTGGCTTCCTCTGAGAGCATTGAAGTTCAGCAGCAGCACTTGAAAGAACTGCAGGAACGGCTAGATGAGCAGCGGGAAACCCTTCTGTTTCGCCAGAAAATACAGGAGGACTTGCTGCTGCAGAGGCATGCCCAGCTGAAAGAAAAAATGGAGCAACAGCAGGAAGCCTTAAAAGGGATTATTAAACGGGTATGCTTTTTAGTGCGAGAAAAAGAAACATTCGGGCGTCTCGTCAGGGTAATTCTGAAAGAGGAAACTCTCCTTTCTAGTTGTCTTTCCATTGTTAGTTCTAAACCTATCATTTGCTTAGAATAGATCCTCAGTAGGTGATCATTTAAAAGCTGGCTTCAGTTAGCCATAACACTCTGCAATTTCTGGATATTTTGAAATACGAAAATTCCGTTTTCCCTGGTTTTCCAGCAATTATCCATCTCATCCATTGCATTTTTGAAAAAATCTGGTCACCTGTAGTGCATTTTCTCTCTCCTAGCGTCAAAAAAGGCAGATCGTAGTTGAACAGCAAATCAGCAGAGGGAGTTTTATCTCGTGCATAGCTTGCAGTCCTAGAACCATTTTTTATGAAATTTTGTTAAATGCAACAATTATCTTTTAATTCGAGAATCAGTTACTCTTTCAGTCCCTCGGTGTGGTGTTACATATGGGGCACTTAACATTTTCAAACAAAATCTAAAACTGCCAGTATTTCAAAAGATTTTATATAGGATCACAGGTTTTATAATATTTGCTCCCCGTGAAATTTAAGGCATTTTTAAACTTTATTTTATATTTTAAAATGTTTTGAAAGTCTTGGAGATAACTACATATACTCATAGTGTAGTCATCCGATTGCCCATACTCTTAAGTATAAACCTTTGAACATTAAAAAAAAAAACTAGATGTCTTCCTCTAATAAAGTCTACCATCCTCTTGGTCTCAAGAAGATTGGATGACTTTTTAAACCAAACCTGGTGTTGAAAGAAAAATCTTCATCAGAGTCGAGTCCAAGCTGGGAATAATCAAAATGGAGACTGCTTTAGAAAGAAGGTTGTAGTTTATTGAAGAGGAGAGCCAGATGGCTTTCCAAGATGGCTCTGGGAAAGCTAACCACATATAGCAGAGAGTGGTGGGCTTTTATATCTCCTTTGGGCTTTGTATTTGGAGTTCTTCCTGTTTGAGGCTTTGTATTTCCTGTGTCATGTACTTTGACCTGAATCTGAGTGTGCCCTTTGGTATTGGTGGGTTAATCCTATTATGTCTCCTATCCTTAGAATTTGGGTGGGGGTATGTAGATTTTAGGTGTCTTTGTCTTCCTAATAGCTTCCTGGCTCCAACTTTCCTGAATAGATTATTACAACTGCATTTCTAAAAGCTGGCCTCTGCCTAGGTTCTGCTTGGGGGAGAGGGTCTGGGGTGGTTTCTGTCTTTTTTTAGATCTTCTCCATTATTCCTTTGGGGAAATATATTCTGCCTTTTTAATATTCCCCAAAATATTTCTTTCTCTGGATTCTTCCCACACTGGGTTTGCCACATGCATAGAATGATGTAAAGCAGTGGTTCTCAACCTGTGGGTCGGGACCCCATTTGGGGTCGAACGACCATTTCACGGGGGTCGCCAAACAACGTAGTCCGCCATTTTTTTCCCCTTTTCCTTAGCTGTGCTACTCCCTTTTATTCTATTGGCTTTTGAAAGCCAATAGAATAGATTCTCTTGAGTAGAGTCTAATTCTATTGGCTTTCAAAAGCCAATAGGAATTGTCCAGGCTGTCTCTGCCCTGCTGAGCCCACCAAAAGTCCCCATTCTGCAAACGGTGCTGCACCAGTTGAGTAGTCCTTGACTTACGACCAGTTGGGGGGTCGCGGCATTAAAAAGGTTGAGAACCACTGATGTAAAGTCATCTTGTGTGATCAGACATTGCTCTCAGTACATTGGGCATTTACCTCAGAAAATAAAGTTTTTTCTTCTTTAAGGTAACACAGTCAAGACCAGGCAGGGATATGACAGAGGCAGAGCCCGACAGCCTCAGTTTGCTGAATGTGCTTCTTAATGAAGCAGAAGATGGCAACCCAAAGCAGGTTCATTTTGATGATACGGACAGTCATGCAGAAAATAATTCTTTGTTTCAAAAAGTGAATTCGATGGAACAAACGGGTAAGAGCTTTTTGAACATTGTGATGGGTGTTGGGTTGTTTTCTTTGTCTTATTGGTTCCTTTTAAAGCACTTTGGTTGAGGTTCCTCTGATTGAAATTGAAAGTGTGAATTTATGTTTCTGGGTCAGTAACCCTGTTCTATCCTATTACTTTCCAGTTTTTGAAACTGAAGGGCTTTCATAAATGACAATTTCACTGGAGATATCTCACATTGGTTTGGGTTCAGGATAGACCATTGTCACTTCTGTCTTCACAGACAGTACAATGAATATTTTATTTGGTCAAATTTCAGGATACAAAGAGCATCTTTTTCCTCATTCCCACAGTTGATAAACTACAGTCCAGTAAAAGCCCAACTGAACCTTTACAAGAAGATATAGATCTGCTAAGAACTATTTCTATAGCTGATGATAAATTTATCTCTGGTGGAGAAATTCTTATGCAAAGCAATAGACTCATCATCATCATCATCATCATACCAAATGAGGGGAAAATAAACAAGATAATAAGAAGGATAAATAATAATATTACAGCCATAATATATGAGTAAATACACATAGACATACACATCAGTATCATTATCCTTATATTGCAGGGAGAACAGTTTCCTTCACATAAAAACAGATTTAACTGGGAAAATCTCAGTCCAGAGACCAAGTTTCTATATTACTCGGTCACAATAATTCTGGTTCTGAACATATCTTTATGTTGCAGGACTATTTCAGAGCACGTGGACTAGAGAAGAGAAACAGAGACTTTCAAAACCACCTTTGGTCAAAGTAAAACCAGGACTTGGTCTGGAACAGCATGAACTTAGTGCTATACAAGAACTTGACACACCAAGGAGTGACAGATTTACCAATACAGGTAAATTATGACAGTATAATGCTAATCAAAATCATGTCTCTTGCTGCATTTAAGCACTTAACTTCATTCCACTTAACTGCAAAAGCATACAGTGATGGGCAGCCTGGAAGAGATCACCAGTGTTTCTTTCCTTCAATCCTAACCTTACTATTTCTTTCCTGTCCTTCATTACATTAAATGTAGCTCATTTCAGAATACTTTCATGGTATTTTTATCAGGTTGACATTGTGACTTGTTCTGTGCAGTCATTGTGCCTTAGTGCTAACTTGGAGATTGTTTATATACAAACTGCTTTGTATATGTACGTGTGAAAATGTTCCTTTAGATTAGGCAAAAAGAGAGTTTTGTCTTGCTGTAATGCACGTTTCGGGATACCTCGATTTGTCTCATGTTTTTTCGTTTTCTCTGTCTTATTGATGGGCAAGAACAAAAAAAAATAAGATACAATATATTATTGATGGTTGATAACTGATGCATCAATCATAAGATATTGGCATAGATACTAACACTATTGGCACCCTGTGCACTCACAAGAGATCTAAGTCCAGCCCACCTTGAATGCCTCTTATCTCCCGCTCATTCCCCTTAAACACCAGTTGGCTACAGTCTTGTAGAGCAGTGGTTCTCAACCTGTGGGTCGGGACCCCATTTGGGGTCGAACGACCATTTCACGGGGGTCGCCAAACAACGCAGTCCGCCATTTTTTCCCCCTTTTCCTTAGCTGTGCTACTCCCTTTTATTCTATTGGCTTTTGAAAGCCAATAGAATAGACTCTCTTGAATAGAGTCTAATTCTATTGGCTTTCAAAAGCCAATAGGAATTGTCCAGGCTGTCTCTGCCCTGCTGAGCCCGCCAAAAGTCCCATTCTGCAAACGGTGCTGCAGCAGTTCAGTAGTCCTTGACTTACGACCGGTTGAGTAGTCCTCGACTTATGACCGGTTGGGGGTTGCGGCATTAAAAAGGTTGAGAACCACTGTTGTAGAGAGCTTCAGCTTGCAATAAATCTTTATACTCATTTTGAACTGCCTGAATCTCCTGATTTCCCCAGTGCTTGACAATTTGCTTGTTTTTAAAAGATTTGTCTGGTCACTTATATTGTTAGGTGGGCAGCTAACAAGAGTAATAAAAATATAATAATATAGCAAACATAATACAATACAATACAACAAACAAGAGAACAGATGCCCAATCCAACTACATCCAGACTCCAACCTCACTATGCAGGCCTCGGGAATTAGCTCTTCATGGCTTTCCAGAAGTTTAAAACGATGAGGTCTTAATGTGTCTCAAGGGGAAGAATGTTCCATAGGTCAAGGACACTGAAAAAGGTCTGCCTTCCTAAGTCACCCTAGGCCAGGGGTAGGCAACCTTGGCTCTTTCATAACTTGTGGACTTCAACTCCCAGAATTCCTGAGTCAGCCATGCTGAGGGGAAAGGGAGAGGTTTCCAAGCTGAGCCATGCTGGCTCAGGAATTCTGGGAGTTGAAGTCCATGAGTATAAAAGAGCCAAGGTTGCCTACCCCTGCCCTAGGTGGCAACTTTTAAAGGAGAGGATATGGAGCAAGTCCACTCTGTCTGATCCAGTGGGATGGTGGAACAGCAAGTACAGATATTTTCTAATATACCTTTCCTTGTTGCTACAGAAATTTCAGGATACAAAGAGCTTCTTACTCCAGATATATTCTTCACTCCCCAAATTGATAAGCTACGGTCCAGTAAAAGCCCAACTGAGTCTTTACAGGAAGAAATAGATCTGCCAAGAACTATTTCTATTGCTGATGATAAAGAACTAGACTCTGGTCAAAGTCTGGAGCACATACAAGGGTCATGGCAAGTTGAATCGATGTGGAAAGCCAATGGTTTGTATGACTCAGGTGAGAAGAGTTACCTTTTGGGAGAATGATTGCTTTTCAGCAGAAGCAGCAGTGGGGTTAAATTTCATATCAAGTCAGTAACGATAATCAAAATAAACTCTCTTAAATATCTATGTGTATATTTCATATTTAAGAAATATTCTATAATCACTGCCATGGAATCTTAACAAGCACTGGCATTGCTTTTATATAGTGGTTAAGCTCCAAGGGCTGGTTATACAGCATTCTTTTATTTATTTATTTATTTATTTATTTATGAATGAGACTTATATACCGCTTTAAGTGAAAGTGCTCTCTAAGCGGTGTACACCAGTAAACAATGTATATATATTTACATTGTCCCCAACAATCTGGGTCCTCATTTTACCTACCCCGGAAGGATGGAAGGCTGAGTCAACCTTGAGCCGGTGAGATTTGAACCGCTGACCTGCTGAACACAGTCAGCTAAAGTGGCCTGCAGTACTGCACTCCAACTGCTGCGCCACCTCGGCTCATCAATGACTCCTCTCTCCATAGATTTGCAAGGACTTGATACAGTCAAGAGTAAAATCTTGATAAAGGGGAATATGGACATGTTATTTAAAAAAATTCATCAAAGACAGTAATTTTCCCTGTAAATAAATACTAATACAGGTAGTCCTTGACTTATGGTCACAATTGAGCCCACAATTTCTGTTGCTAAGCGAGACAGTTGTTAAGTTAGTATTTCTGAAGAATATCCTGCATTTCTAAAGCCTGTTTAAATTATGATCTATGCAAATATAGGAACAGAAGACCTGAAGCTCTCTAGAACAATGTTTTCTCAACCTTGCCAACTTCAAAATGTGGACTTCAACTCCCAGAATTCCCCAGCCAAGTGGGATTGAAGTTGAAGATAAGTTGAAATCCACACATCTTAAAAGTTGCCAAGGCTGAGAAGCCCTGCTTAAATGTATGGTGTGTTACTGTTGCAATTATTGTCGACTCTCACTTGTGGAATTATGTCTGTGTGACCACATAGAGTTAAACTTGAGCACATCATGGTTTGCCAGCTGCTTCACGTTGCTTCCTCTTCTTTATATTCAGTCCACTCCGAAGAATTTACGTCTATTGATCAAAATTTATCAAATTATTCTGCTGATAGTGGAAGAATAGTTACATCTCCTGATCCATCATTGAGGCCAAACAGCCAAGTAAGTTGTAATAACTCATGTTTAGTATATTATATAATTGTACCATTTACTGTAAACAATCTCGTCCTCTTTTAATACTTGCATTTTAAATACTGTTAATTAGTACTCTGCACCTAGAAATCACATGAACAATACACTGTTCATGTCTAGTTTAATGAAGAGAAGGACGAGGGGGGACATGATAGCAGTGTTCCAATATCTCAGGGGTTGCCACAAAGAAGAGAGAGTCAAGCTATTCTCCAAAGCACCAGAAGGCAGGACAAGAAGCAATGGATGGAAACTAACCAAAGAGAGAAGCAACCTAGAACTAAGGAGAAACTTCCTGACAGTAAGAACAATTAACCAGTAGAACAACCTGCCTCCAGAAGCAGTGAATGCTCCAACACTGGAAGTTTTTAAGAAGAGATTGGACAACTATTTGTCTGAAATGGTATAGGGTTTCCTGCCTGAGCAGGGAGTTGGACTAGATGACCTCCAAAGTCCCTTCCAACTTTATTATTATTATTATTATTATTATTATTATTATTATTATTATTATTATTATTATTATGTTTTACACTTCATTTTACATAAGAAGCTCTAAGGAGCTCCATCTGGCACGTTAACTTCCATATGTTTTCCATTTTCCTTTTTTTCTTTCCATTAATTTCCCCAAGATTTTTTAAATGGCAAAAATAATGCAGCAAAGGTGGTATTATTTGATATGTATGTAAATAACAGCATGGTAGTAGTTCAGCGTCTTACTTAAAAGAATGTTAAGCTTTATTCTGATTTGATTAAGAAAGTCATTTGCAAGCAAAGTACTACATTTCTGAAAGCATTTTAAAAGATACACAGCTAAGGCATACCGTATTTTCTATTATAATAGTACAAAATACAGATTTTTATCATTTAATAGTCATAAAAGTGTCTTGAATTGCTTTACTATTCCTCTGAGAGCCTCTTAGTCGCTGGCTCTGTGATGAGAAATAGCCAAATATGAGCACTAAAATGATCAGCTGATCTGCGGTGCGTGATTTATATACCGTTCTGGGAAGCAATTCAAGCCTGAACCTGTGTGTGTGTGATGATTTGTGAGTTTTGTGTGTGATGAATGGATGTATGAGTAGAGTCTGAATGTGGGGGATTTTGCTGGGGGGGGGGAGGAGAGCAAGAATGAGATTGACTGTTTTGAGCAATGATGAACCTGACATGTACTGACAGTTGAATACATGGAGGTTTCTACACTTGAACTGAGCTCAGAATGAAAGATGTTTTGATTCCAAGCACTTGTGATTGTAGCAATCTGGACTCACACACCTGTATAATACTCTTGTCCTAGGTAACACTGTCACACGCATGGTCTCCGGGTTTGTTAACGCCAACAACGTGTACACAGCAGGTCGCTTGTGGCTATTTTACTTCAGAAACTCCTCCTGCTGCCAACTTTATAAAAAACTACAACCCAGATCATGATCTTGCTGGTAAAGGTAAGTTTGTGGCACGCTCAAATAAAAAGATCTTGACAGACTCGAACAATGGGCCCCTTTCCAACAACATGACGTTTAATGTGGGGGAAAAGCAAGGTTTTACATTTAGGCGGGAAAAAACCAAAGGTACAAGTACAGATTAGGCAAAACCTGGCTCAGAAACAGTAACTGTAGAGCAGTGTTTCTCAACCTTGACAATTTTAAGGCATGTGGACTTCAACTCCCAGAATTCCACAGCCAGCAATGCTGGCTGTGGAATTCTGGGAGTTGAAGTCCACATGCCTTAAAATTGTCAAGGTTGAGAAACACTGCTGTAGAGAGACCTTGGAGTCCTAGTGGACAAACACTTGAATATGAGCCAGTTTTGGTCACCACGTTACAAAAAAGATGTGAGACTTTCGAAAAAATGCAAGGAAGAGCAACTAAGATGATTAAAGGTCTAGAGCAGTGATGGCGAACTTTTTAGAGACCGAGTGCCCAAAACCTGCCCCACCTGTACACAGGGCCACCCACTGCCTCCATGGCCCGCCGCAGATCGTCCAGGTGGCCCATCAGCGCCATGGCAGCCACACCCTCTGGTCGCACCCTGCAACATCATCTGTGCACGACGGGGCGCGAGGGCGGAGTCTTGTCCCTGCTGCCCAGCTGCCATGTCCTTGGCTGCGCTGCTCTGTGTGGGCGGTCCCCAGGGGCAGCTCTCTTCTGGGGGGCTGCTGGTGAGGGGGCCGCGGGGGGAAGCGGGGCTGGGGCGACAGCATGTGTGCCCACAGAAAGGGCTCCGAGTACCGCCTCTGGCATGCGTGCCATAGTTTCGCCACCACTGACCTAGAGACTAAAATGTATGAAGAACTGTTGCACGATTTGGGTTTGGCCAGTAGAGAAAAGAAGGACTATGGGTGACATGATAGCAGTATTCCAGTGTTTGAGAGACTGCCACAAAGAAAGGGGTCAACTTATTTTCTAAAGCACCAGAGGGCAGGACAAGAAACGATGGGTGGAAACTAATCAAGGAAGGAAGCAACCTGGAGCTAAGGGGAAACTTCCTAACAGTGAGGACAATTAACCAGTGGAACAGCTTGCCTCCAGAAGCTATGAATGCTCCAACACTGGAAGTTTTTAAGAAGAGATTGGACAGCCATTTGTCTAGAATGGTATAGAGCAGGGGTAGGCAACCTCGGCTCTTTTATGACTCGTGGACTTCAATTCCCAGAATTCCTGAGCCAGCTAGGCTGGCTCAGGAATTCTGGGAGTTGAAGTCCACGAGTCATAAAAGAGCTGAGGTTGCCTACCCCTGGTATAGAGTCTCCTGCTTGAGCAGGGGGTTGGACTAGAAGACCTTCAAGGTCCCTTCCAGTTCTATTCTGATTGATCGACCTGGCCTCATTTTTATATTTTGCATGAATAAAAAAACAGAATGACTTCCTAGAACTCAAGAGTGCTTTTTCAAAAGGCAGCTGGGCTGTTTTTTTGTTTTTTTTATCAATTGTCGGTACCCATCATTACATTCTGAATAAAGTTGAGAATTATTTGTAATTGCTTTGCAGAGTCCTGTGCAGCCAAGCAACAGACCAGCCTTTTCAGCTTTCCAGCAAAGGAGATTTCAAGCACTGCTTCATTTCTACAAAAAGCTGATGATTCTTCAAAGCATCTCAGTTCTCGCCCCTCTTTTGAAGAAATGGATTACGATGGAAGCAAAATCCAGCAAATAATAAACAAATATAAAAAAGATCTCGGCTGGTCATCCCTGAATAATGTATCTTCTGACCATGGTAATGTAATTAGAAGATAATAAATGGAATATTCCAAAGCATTCTGTTCATTGCTCCCCATGCAATATACTGTTTCTATTGTGTGCAGTGAATGTGATTGTGGGAATGTCCCATAAACTTTACATCATACTGCGATGGACTGCCCCCCCCCCCAAAGGTTCTCTGTATCTCTGCATGAAATACATCAGCTTGAGGGCGCACTGCTCTCCAGTTGCTAAACGAGATATAGATATATTAGTTTTTTATAATCACAAGTGCTTGATATTTTGTCAGCAACATATTGTCTGGATTTCAGTACCTAGCTTACTAATACATATTAAGTTCCTTTCTCTCTACCTCGTTTTTCTAGCCAGTAATAAAAGGCCGTCCACAATAGATTTGAGGTTCCTCTGATGTGAAATGACTGTGTTTCACTTCATTTAATCCATGGATTCCCAGAATGTCAGTGTTCATTCTTGACACTTCTAGTCTGACTTCAAGTTTGCCTTGGTTCATTGTTCTGATGTTCCACATAAACAGTGGCATGCACTATTTGCAGTTTTCTTTGGCTTCTTGGTACATCAGCAGTTGGACAACTTTTTGACTTTTAATTCAACCACATCATAGGATCAGTGTCACTCATCCTTGCACTGTTTTTTTCAGTAGCTTGTTGGATATTTTCCAATCTGAGGGTTCATCTACCAATATCACACTAACTTTATCCTGGATGTGAATGTCTATCCTGTTTTCTTGGTTGAACTGGTTGCCATTTCCCTTTCCAGTGCTTTGTATTTAGTCTGACTATCAGTTATAACTTGGTCATCCTAGGTTTATGTAGTTCCCATGGTGACCACAAAGTAACAATCCACAAAAGTAAATACTGTGTGGCACTGTCTGAAATTCTGTTTCATTTGTTTTAGATCCAGCGGTTGGACTTGATGCTGCTGATATTGAAAGAAATTTTCCAAATTTCCACCGAGAACTTTTTCAGCCTTTGAAGCCGAGTTTTGACTTTGATATCTGCTCCACTCTTTTTCACTGTAGAATATCTCAAAACAGCAAAGACTTTAGCAAGGTATTTTGGAATGGAGGAAAACTGAGAATGAGTCTTCTTTTAAAAAGTCAGCTCTGGCTTAATGATCTTTAGAATACATTCATGATGGCAAATAGGTAACTGAGGTTATGACACTTTTGCCAATGAGACTAAGAAGTCAATACACAGAATGTATATATAGAGAACTATGGTTTATTTCCAGCATGGAAATCTCTTGACAAAAAGTGCTTTTGTCAACATTCAGATAATGTCGGTCATTCTCTCTTCTACTGTTGGTTTATAAGAGGATAAAGGAATGAGTCACTATGATATCAGGTTAGACCAAGGGCGTCAGTCTGGCTGGACGCGTCAACTGGAAGCCACGCCCACCCATTGCCAGCAATGGCAAAACCATCCCAATATGTTGCACAACATTACATGACGTCATGAGTTTGACATGTCTGGGTTAGACGGTTTACAACATAGAAATGCAAAAATAAAAACAATGATTTAGAGCAGCAGTCCCCAGCCTTTCTGACACCAGGGACCAGTTTCAGAAGAAAAATTGTTTTCCAGGGAGGAGATGATTTTATGTGCAGTCTAAATCCCGCACGTGCGTACACGAAGCTTCACGTGCTCGCCCGTCGCTTGCATGGCCCAGTTCTTAACAGGCCACAGACCGAGTTCGGTCTGCAGCCCGGGGATTGGTGACCCTCTGATGTAGAGAGATTGGAGTTGGGCTAGGAACCATTCCAGTCTCCCTTAGTGCTGATAGCCTGATGGCATCTGAGGCTTGTTCTCAGCTAGATTGATCCAGATTCCAATACCTGCCGTACAATATAAACTTCCCCACGTGGAAGTCTATATTGACAATATTGCAACCAATTTTCTTGTCCAAAAGAAATATATGGGTGGCATACAAATTTAATAAATTATTATGGTTGGTCCTACAGTCAGCCAGATGTTTAGACTGCATTTGGCATTTTTACCAATCTGTTGAGTCCCTCTCAAGGACCTTGGATAGACAGATGTTGACGTTTGATGGTATTATTAATATTATTATTGTTTTGTCATCTGCAAATGGAATGTCTCTGTTGATGAGATAATTAGATAATAATTAAAATATTTTGTATTCCTGAGTATTTTCCACATAACCTACTATTATTCTCTGGCTGGAAGATGGAGGTGCTCATCTGATTTTCTTGCATCAATGTCATTTATGTCATAATGTTGTATATAACATAGTTGTACAGTTGACTAACAGTTTTGTTGCTGCATGAGAGTTGCAAAACTGTTCTGCCACTATTTCAATCCCGGTTGTTGTTCAGATTCTACCACATTATTGGTAGCATTTAGAACTCCCTATGTTAAGATGAGAAAACTCCAAAAGATTTTAGCATGCCTTATGAAATTTTCATGCTATGCTTTATTCTCCCCTCATGCATTTTTATTCTGTAGATTTCAGATTTATCTAAGAGTCAAGATTTAACAATTTCTACTCTAGAAGAAGGAAGCAACAGTCCTTTATTTCTTAGCAGAGGAAAACTAAGCAGTTCTCAGCTAAAGGAACAGAGTAATGAAAGGATGAACCAGCCAAGGCAAGGTAATTGTTTAGTCCTTTGATCTTTGTAGTCAGGGAAATATTTTTTAAAAATTAAACATTGCTGTTATTAACAAAAGGAGGGATATTTGAATAGGTGCTGACCTATTTCTGTTCAGCTTCAAAGTTTCTGTTTGATCCATGCTTCTCTGATTTAGAAATTGAGTAATTGATTTTTCCCAGCAGGTTTTACACAGCAGAGATTTTTCTTATATATTAATGATTTGATTTGATTTCTACAGTTCTCTCCCCCTCCCCCCCATCTCAGTAAACAAATCTGGGCAGCTCACAATTAAAATCTTAAAAACATTTTAAAACAATAGAACAATATTATATTGCTAAGCAAGACAGAAGAAACATTTGACAACAAATGTTACCAGATGTGTTGATTGTTTTGCTCCCATCTCATAGCTTCCATGACATTTGCATCTGGCGCTGAAAAATAATCATCACGACTTGGTTAATCAGGTTCCAGACCTTAGAAAAAAACAATTTTTGGTGAGGAATTATAGCTTAATAGTAGAGTGTGATTTTTTTTTTTTTTCATAGAGTCAGTCTGTGGGATCTTGAAAGTTCTAGTAAGGCCTTTGCTTGAGATTTTGAATGAGACAACCACCTGGCTTTAGATGAGCAGATGATCTGACCTGCTAGAAGACTACTTGTAATTTATTTTTAATATGAGTAATAATTGCTCCTTCTCTGCTTCAGTCTTAAAAATGCAGTAATATTCTGAATTTTACTGTAGTTAATTTCATATAAAAACTGGTGTTTTTTTTTTTTTTTTTTTTTTTGCCATTTCTCAGCTGTTCAACCGTTGGCCAAAGAATTGTCTGAACCCTTATCTCTGGAAAATATCTTGCACAACAATAGTTTTGGTAAATCTGGAGCCTTCAGTTTCAAGCCTGGACAAAACCTTGAGCTAAGCAAGAACTGTGGGGAGGACCTTGTGGTTATTTCACCTGAGACTGGATCCTGCGAGGATCTGCAAGATGACGGTGACGCTCGTTATTTCTGTTCGTCCATCGAAAACCTTCGCAGCCTTACTCCAGCTGATGATCAAACCTCCATTTACGAGATGATTCCAAGTTCTGGCACAAGGAAAAGCACTCTGGAGAGGACAGAATGGGCAAAAGAGGACACTAGCTCCAGGGCAGGGAGTCTCTGCTTCGTTGAACTAGCCACAACGTCATACAACAACAACAATGAAACGGAGACCAGGAGCAGATTAGTCAAGGGGAATGTAGAAACTGACCCCACACGGTATGCTTTAAATGCCACGCAAGAGCAGAGTTTTCCAAGATCAAAGGTACTGCTGGATGGGCCTCAAGAAATGAACTCTGGCAGTCCCTTTCAGAATTCTGCTCAGGAAAATATCAGTCAGCCAGCCGTGTTTCCACAATCAAATATGGATGCCATCCAGGCTAAAAGCTCAGATTCCCGTTTGTCGCAGTGCAGCATCCCTGTTTGGGTGAGTGACCTGAAATGGAGACTCCTGGATTAAATGTAAGCTGTTCTGTTTAGAGACGATATGAAAGGCATTGTTTTTTAGCTAACAAAAGCTGTTTAGTCTAATTAAAAGATGTTGTTAGTTGTGAAGTCGTGTCCGACCCATCGCGACCCTATGGACAACGTTCCTCCAGGCCTTCCTGTCCTCTACCATCTTCTGGAGTCCATTTAAGCTCACGCCTGCTGCTTCAGTGACTCCATCCAGCCACCTCATTCTCTGTCGTCCCCTTCTTCTATTGCCCTCCATCTTTCCCAGCATTAGGCTCTTCTCCAGTGAGTCCTTCCTTCTCATTAGGTAGCCAAAGTACTTGAGTTTCAACTTCAGAATCTGGCCTTCTAAAGAGCAGTCGGGGTTGATCTCCTCTAGGACTGACCGGTTTGATCGCCTTGCAGTCCAGGGGAGTCTTCTCCAGCACCATAGTTCAAAGGCCTCAATTCTTTGGCGCTCAGCCTTTCTTATGGTCCACATTTCACAGCCATACATTTCAGTGGGAAAACCATGGCCTTGACTATACACACTTTTGTTGGCAGGGAGATGTCTCTGCTTTTTAGTATGCTGTCTAGATTTGCCATAGCTTTCCTCCCCAGGAGCAAGCGTCTTTTAATTTCTTGGCTGCAGTCCCCATCTGTGGTGATCTTGGAGCCCAGGAAGATAAAATCTGTCACTACCTCCATTTCTTCCCCATTTAATAGACAATTGTTCAATTGCCAGCAGAAAGAACAACAGCAAATTAATAGACATAGGCTAAATAAGGTCAGAGCTAATCTGATTTCCCAAAGAAGATGGTCCATGATGGGGTATTTTCATAGTGGGGGTCCTGTCCCATCAATTTAAACTCTTTTGGTGGTACGGCTCATGATACGACCTTTTGCCCTAAAGCAGAGTTCTCCAAACTTGGCAACTTTAAGACTTGTAGACTTCAATTCCCAGAATCCCCAGCTAGCATGGCTGGCTAAAGAATTCTGGGTAGTTGAAGTCCACAAGTCTTACAAGTTGCCACATTTGGAGAACCGTGCCCTAAAGGGTTGGGATAGAATTATGCAGTTCTTGAAAAAATGCTTGTCTCTGGCAGACAAATGTGTGTTTTTGTGGAAATCCCAACTATTTACTGATTCCTATAATTAATTTTTTAGGAGACCCTTACAGGAAGAGGCATCATGGAAGAACCTGACCTGACACTAGTAAGCTCTAACGACATCAGCGTTGCAGAATCAGAGCTTATACCTGGCGATCATTTTGAAGTTAGAGACTGTCCCCAGGTAAAAAATTTGGGGGTGGGGATCGGGGAGCGATAACACATTTTAATTTGGCCAAAGATGAAGAAGGGTGGAATTACATAGAATAGGGTGCTTTGAATTTGTAGACATTTTTGCTACTTCATAAGATAATATTTGACAAACTGGTTACAATAACAGTTGAGAGCAGGATGGCTGTCACTACGGAAAATGCAATATCACGTGACCACATCCCTTAGCGATGGCAATCCTGGCTGCTCTTGTCACCTTAAGATGCACGACTTGATTTGACGAAGGCAAGAGAGCACCTGGGAGAATCGGTACAAGCTGCGCAGGCAGCAGGCTGCAGTAGGCAGGAATGACTTATAACAGGGGTAGGCAACCTCGGCTCTTTTATGACTCGTGGACTTCAATTCCCAGAATTCCTGAGCCAGCCATGGTGAGGGGAAAGGGAGAGGTTTCCAAGCTGAGCCATGCTGGCTCAGGAATTCTGGGAGTTGACGTCCACGAATCATAAAAGAGCCAAGGTTGCTTACCCCTGACTTATAACCATCCCTACCAGCTTTGTCTTTGCTTGTGGAAAACCACGAGGAGGTTGCAAATGGCAATCAGGACCCTGGCTCCTTGCCACGTAATAATGAGCCAGGTACCCAAGTGACTGGATCATGATAAGGTGACCACAGGGCTGTTGCGATGGCAGGGAGTTCAGAGACTACTTGTATGTCCATTTTGTCAGCACTGAACTGTCACTGAACAAATGGACGTAAGTTGAGGACTACCTGTAATTAATGCCCCAAGGCCATTACATTCCAATTAAAAAGTACTTTTTTTTAAACTTTAGCTATTCTTTGTTTTAGGTGTGTGTGCCTCCCTTTAGTAGTTTTATTCTTTTGAATGCATCAGCCCTCATTATGCCAACAACCCATTACTTACTGTATTTATATATTATTTTTTGACAGAGCAGAGGATTTTTCCCATTAAACCCAGAAGTGGATGAATTTCCCACGCAGCTGGACTATCCACCAGTAACTCCAAGCCCTCAAAATGATCCTGATCAAAACTCCAAGCCAAGAGATAGTATGTATGCAGTATACTGCAAATGTATGAGTGTAAATCAGAGCCTTGTGATATTCAGAGGTGATAGCAGCTTGAATTAAAAAACTGTAATACTCAAGGGAGATAATAAGTCTTGTGAATGAAGGCAAATATACATGTTCCAGGATAATGTGGAAGGATACAATCTGAGTCGGTCCCTGGGAGCAAAGGTTTATAGTTCCAAGCTTTTGGGCTCATGCTGGAACCCATTCTAGGGGGAACTTCTCTCTCTCCAACATGTGCACTGAGCTGTTCTACATGTTGTATTTATACGGTGCCTGGTTGTGTGTGGCTTTTAGTTGTTAATTAGGGTGTTGATGGCTGGTTAAGTTGGCTTATAGACAGAGAAGTTCCCTAAGTATGGGCTTCAGCAGAATCCCAAAAGCTTAGAACAGGGGTGTCAAACTGGCCAGATGCGTCATGTGTAGGCCACACCCGCCCTAGCTCCGCAAAGGCAAAAAACATTGCGGTATGTCACATGACACGATTGGGTTTGACACCTGTGGCTTAGAAGAATAAACCTTTGGTCTCGGTGACTCACATTGGATCCTGCAGATAATAGCCTTGTTGCTGATTCATTTATCAGATTGTTACAACATTCTCCAGAGTCTTGCCTAGACCCCCCCCCAAAAGGAATTTTAGTAAGACAGCTTTACTCATTTTATTCTAAAAAGACCTTATAACATTTCCTGTATCAAACCCCATTGAGTCCCTACCTTTGTATGCCACACTAAAGGAAAAGTGCACCAAGCACATTAAATGGCTGGTTTAATTACACTTGCATGCTTTTGCATTCAGGGTGCTTTTGTGGGTTCAATCTTGCATAAAATCTGATCATAATTTTAATGAAGAGAAGGACAAGGGGGGACATGATAGCAGTGTTCCAATATCTCAGGGACTGCCACAAAGAAGAGGGAGTCAAGCTATTCTCCAAAGCACCTGAAGGCAGGACAAGAAGCAATGGGTGGAAACTAATCAAGGAGAGAAGCAACCTAGAACTAAGGAGAAACTTCCTGACAATTAGAACAATTAACCAGTGGAACAACCTGCCTCCAGAAGCGGTGAATGCTCCAACACTGGAGGTTTTTAAGAAGAGATTGGACAGCCATTTGTCCAAAATGGTATAGGGTTTCCTGCCTGAGCAGGGGGTTGGACTAGATGACCTCCAAGATCCCTTCCAAATTATTATTATTATTATTATTATTATCATTATCATTATTATTATGCTTGCAGTATCTGGCTCTTGATGATAAGGCTGGTTTGTTAGTATTATTCCTATGCAAAAGGCTTTGAACTCAAAATCAGTGCTAGGAATGTTCCAAGCATAAAAGAGCACAATTTTGGGTTAGAACGCTTCGGCTGTGATTAAACAAACTGTTTTGTGTTCACACAACTGTTTCAAACCCCCAACATTTGTGTTTAAACTGTTTTGCATACCCGTTAGCCATTAGAGGTAAAGAGTCTGATCATTGTTCCTTATTTTCCGTATCTATAAAGGGTTATGCTCTGTAGAAGTCTTTTCCATTTCTAAACGGTTTCTTGCCCTCAAAACTTAAGATTCTTGTTACTCAGTTTATTATGTATTTTCGAAAATAACAGTACTTTGTGGGGCTGGGTCTGAAGTTGTTGCAAATCACACTTCCTATTTGTAAAATGCATCTTTTTTTCCTCACAGTAATATTGTCAGAGTTTGCACCTGTCCATGGCAGCCTGCAGGAATCATTTTTGAAACGGAAGAAAGATTTTATTGAGAGATCTTTGAAAAGGGTGGAGAAACTAAAAAACCGAGAGCAAAGCTCAGAAAAGACCCAGAGTAAGGCACCTCCACTGAAAAAACCACAACTCCACAAACGAAACGTGAACTGGACACCTCACGGTAATTATCAGCAAACGAGTATGAATAGAGGGAAGATGAAACGTGGACAGTCATTTTGCTTGGGGCCTTTGCTATCATCCAGACAATGAATTGCTTAAAATTAATTTGTGACTATTGTGATTTGTAAACGTTCTGAGGAGAGGGCAAGTGTGCAGGAACCCATGGGCAAAACCCCATGTCTTTCTGTAGTTGTTCTCGTGTCTCAGTTTTATGCCAACATTGGGAGTCATTTGCTGCTTGATGTACAATGAAAAGCAGCGGAGGAATTTGCTTTTTCCTCTTGTCCTTGAAAGATTGTCTAATCTAAGCCTTATGTTTCATGTGTCCTGGTTGGATTCAAGCGGCAGCTGTTCATCTTTTGAAGAAAGGGGAAGAAAAAAGGTGCTCTCCAGTTGACAGGAAAGTGGCCGCAGAACAAATGCAGCAACGGACTTCAAGGTATTTCACCACCCAACATCAGAGAAATTAAACCAATGTCCTTTTTAACAAGCCATGTAATTTTAGCTAAAAGACCCGCCCTTTGATGTTGACTTTACAGGCCGTTATCAGCACCTTGAATTGCCCCTGAAGCTTTACTGGCAGTCAGTGCAGCTTGTGAAGCAAAGGTGTCAAATGGCTTATTGCAATGTGTGCAGCTGCATTCTCAGCTGGCTAAAGTTTCAAGGCCAGCCCCCCACAGAACATATTGTAGTGATCAAGCCATGAGGTGACTGGAGTGTGAGTGGTGATCTGAAGAACCTCCCCATTTAGGAAAAGGGTACAACAGAAGAAGCTGGGCAAAGATCTTCACAGCCACAGCTGCCACTTGCTCATTGGGCAGGAGGAGCTTTGAGTCCAGAAAGACCCCAAACGGCCCAAAGGCCTTGAATGGAGAAGGGCGACTCCATTCCAGGATAAAGATGAAATAAATATCCAGAGCTATTTTGCCCTGGTAAAATTGAATCAGCAGCAGTTCCCTCCCCATCCAGACACTCTCAAAGCCTCCAGGTACTTGGACAGGATCTTTTTAGTTCTTTTCCTACATTTCAACACTAAATTTGTAATTGTCATGGTAGAAACAAACAAGTGGACAAGGCTTCAGTTTACAATGTAATTAAAGGTCTTTCTCCTCCCCCCCCCCCTCAGTTTTTGAAGTTAACCACATTGTGTTGGTTTTGCTTCTTTGTTTAGCACCCTGATAATATTTGGAAGTTCGGTCTAGAATGGGACTCTGGCATAGCAATAGAAAGGATTTTAAACTTACATCTGTACAGTAGTTGGTTTTGCAAAAAAGAAAGCATCAACACGTATATAGGTATAGGTTCTCCTGCTTGAGCAGGGGGCTGGACTAGAAGATCTCCAAGGTCCCTTCCAGCTTCTATTCCTATTCCATTCCATTCTACTCTATTATTTCTATTCCTATTCTATGTATATAGCTGCCCATCTCATTTTTATGTGATTCGGTGCAGCTTACAATAAAATACATGAAATACACAATATAAAAAAAGCAAATAAAAATAAAACACCTAGCAGCAGACCATAATCTGATCAGCCAGCCAGCCAGCCAGGAGACAAGCTCTGTGATGTATCCAGGAACCAAAGCCAAGTTTCAAGGCCTTGTGGAAGGCCAACAGGAATGGGGCCAGTCTAACCCCAGGAGGGATGTTGTGCCAAAGGGCAGGAAAGGCTCTCCTTCTGGATTGCAACAGAATGGTCTTGACAGATTGGGTACAGCAGGTAGAAACAATTGGAGGGGGGGGGTTGGTCCCCACGTGTTTCCACTAGAAAGTCTGGGACTTAGGTCTAGCGCAGGGCTAGGCAACCTTGGCTCTTTTGTGACTCGTGGACTTCAACTCCCAGAATTCCTGAGCCAGCCATGCTGAGGGGAAAGGGAGAGGTTTCCAAGCTGAGCCATGCTGGCTCAGGAATTCTGGGAGTTGAAGTCCAGACATAAACGAGCCAAGGTTGCCTACCCCTGATCTAGCATTACTATTTTTACTGGTATCTTGACTGGAGATTGGAAATTCTCCTGAACTATTACTAGTCCCTTTGCATAAAGCATTGCCTTTTGAATTATTTACTGGTAACTGGAACAACATTCCATTTCTTCCATAGACTGTATAATAATCTGGCGGAAGTGAAAAACAGAAAGGAAGAGAAAGACAGAAAAGAAAATTATGCCAGGAACAGGGAAAGAGCAAAAGAATTTCACAAGGTAAAACATTTGCAACTGAATATTCCATCCCAGGCTCTAAAAATAAAAAAAATAAAACTCAATAATTTTTTCTGGTTATATTTATTCTTTTAGTTGTGAATCAAATTGACCATAAGTTTAGGCATTGACTTAAAACAATAAGAGGGATTCATCCTGTTTGCAATGCAGAAAACCAAATGTGGTTGGCAGCAAGTGCCAGAAGTAAAATAATGTTAATACCATATTATTCCTTATCCAATTAGCAATGAGCAAAGCTTGATGTTGCAATGGTGCTGAATGAATGGCACAACCAGTCCTGGAAGTCCCAGCAGCCACGCCTTCACAATGGCCATTTGCAATTTTCCCTGCCAATTTTCCACAAGCAAATCAATGCGGAAGCCTGTAGAGCAGTGGTTCTCAACCTTTTTAATGCTGAGACCCCCAACTGGTCGTGAGGACGACTCAACCGGTCATAAGTCGAGGACTAAACTGGTGCAGCACCGTTTGCAGAATGGGACTTTTGGCGGGCTCAGCAGGGCAGAGACAGCCTGGACAATTCCTATTCGCTTTTGAAAGCCAATAGAACTATACTCTATTCAAGAGAGTCTATTCTATTGGCTTTCAAAAGCCAATAGAATAAAAGGGAGTAGCACAGCTAAGGGGAAAAAAATGGCGGACTGCGTTGTTTGGCGACCCCCGTGAAATGGTCGTTCGACCCCAAATGGGGTCCCGACCCATAGGTTGAGAACCACTGTTGTAGAGAAACTTGAAAGTTGCTTCTGGCCCTTTTTCTCCCAAACCCTGGAGTACAAAATCCCAGGGTTTTAATATTCTACTCTTGCACTACTCCCCAGCCCACATCCAATTGCCACAGCACTTTCTGCTTCACTCACCCACTTTCCAGCCTCCTTTGGAGCCACTGGGCACTTTCAACTTCCAAGTGGCTTCCCTGCTGACAACTTGTAGGAAGCCAGAAGGAAGTTGCAAGTCACATAAGGTTCTTGCTTAACAAGGTGGCTTTGTTTTAATGACAGCAATGAGGACTACACTTTAGAAACACATGATTATTTAAAAGTAGAGCAGATAAAATGTCCAATATCCAAAAATATTTCTTACAAATTATTGTAGCTGTTCAGGAGTTTGACTCTAGATCTTTTGGTCACCTGTGCCACATTTTGGTCACTTTTAAACTTCTAAGTGCTGTTGCTAGTATACTTCTGCCATTTATTCATTGCTCAGATTATTTTTTCTTTTCCCTTTCTTTATAGAAAACAATGGAAAAACTACGAGCCAGGAAAATCAATTTGAAAACCTAGTATTTTGCAGATGTTCCACAAATGGAGGATAATTTATCAGCATTGTATTTGAGGACTCCGTGATAATTAAATTATGTGGCAGAATTTGAGATAATTCACATTTGGTATGGATGTATTTGCAAACTTTCCAACGCTGTATATAGACCATTGTCTCCAATTATGGCTTTTCAACTCAAGATTTTTATTTTCAAATGTCATGTGTTTGCTTTTTGTACTATTTTAACTATTTATAATAAAAACTTTTATTTGCAAAAATGTAGAACATTTGACAATTTATTCAAAAACCACATTCATTTTCACTTGCCTTTAAAAAATTTGTGCCAAAAGGGAGATTTATTGTCAGCCTCCTGCCAAACAATCCAGAAGATGGAGAATGAAAAGTAGTTGAATAGCAAGCTACCTTGGAAATTTCAGCTGCCAGTAAGAGAAAACATTGAACACAGCTTGTAATTTTTCTTCACCTGCCTACTGTTGCATTCATGAGCAGTCTTATCCCTGAGTCTACTATGTTGCTTTCTAAAAGCACATGAGATATAAAAAAGATAGAGGAACTACACCAAAATGTAAATAATGTACACAAGATCAGGAGACAGAATTCAGTTGTATGACTAATGCTTAATATCATTTATTAATTAAGCTATAATTAAACCACAGTACAGCAAAATTGCAAATGCAGTTGCAGAAAGCAAGATTATTCAAATAAACATCTGTTTAACAATTAGAAGTACCCAAGAGTATGGCTGCTTAAAAGACATATCTCAAGCTTTTGTTAAGAAAATAGCTGCTCAGTGAATCCCATAATTTTTCAAGCATTAATGCCCAAATATTTGGCAGAGACCATTCTGTTCCAGGTCATCCTCTCAGCATTCTTCAAGCGCCAGCTACCTAAAATAGAAGAGTATTTTTATGAGGTAAATCAGTGTATTTTTGGCTTGGCCTTTTCTTTTCACCAACCCTCAAGGGAGATTTATAGAGCTAGTTTAGCTGCTTATTTTGGTCCCTGTAGCCCAGTGGTTCTCAACCTGTGGGTCGGGACCCCATTTGGGGTCAAACGACCATTTCACGGGGATCGCCAAATGCAGTCCGCCATTTTCCCCCCCTTTTCCTTAGCTGTGCTACTCCCTTTTATTCTATTGGCTTTTGAAAGCCAATAGAATAGACTCTCTTGAATAGAGTCTAATTCTATTGGCTTTCAAAAGCCAATAGGAATTGTCCAGGCTGTCTCTGCCCTGCTGAGCCCGCCAAAAGTCCCATTCTGCAAATGGTGCTGCACCAGTTGAGTAGTCCTCAACTTACGACCGGTTGAGTAGTCCTCGACTTATGACCGGTTGGGGGGTCACGGCATTAAAAAGGTTGAGAACCACTGCTGTAGCCCAAGGAAGATACTTCTGAAGAGTGATTGAAATTTATAACGGGCTTTCCCCAACTTTCATTTAGCTGTTCATCCTAAATGACCTACAAGGGAGCCATCCAACTACTTCTGACTCCCAAATGTGTCTCCTCTCGTACAGATCACAGAGCACTCCAAATCGCCTTGATATCCTACAGAGGATTTCCATGTAAGGTCACCGCGTTAAGAGCTGCTTGTTGATCAGCACACAACCCCCTTTGAAGTGACCTTCTGCACAGCAACTTCCACAGCCTTCGTTTTTACCTTTAGCTTGAGTCCACTTTCAGCCAACTTCGCAGATCCCCACTGAGATTTTGTCAGGGGTATTTCGATAAAGGCTCACAACTGAAAATGGGGGGAAAACATCATAAGCATCAAGTGAATCTTGTTCTGATTTATTAATCTGTTTTAGATGAGAACGCAAGTAGAGCCAAGATGCAAGGGAAGACACAGAAAGCTAAGAGACATTCTCCGGTTTAAAGCTTTTAGATTTTGGCCCTCAATTCTTAAATCCCTCCCCCCAATGTTCCCACCAGACTTCTTGCTACCATGGCAGCAGTATAAAAAATCTAGAGGGGTTACTTTGCGGTCACGTCCACAGCATACCAGAAATAAGATTTTCTAGCAGCCTTGGTAGAGACCAAATACAGGTAGTCCTTGACTTATGACCGCTTGTTGAGCACTTGACAATGGGCTGTCCACATTTATGGCTATCTGCAGTTATGTGATCATTTTATGATGGTTTTGCCAAAAGCCAGCATTTTTGGCAAGATCAGCTCCTAGTGAACCATTGGTTTGCTTAATGATTATAATGAGTGCTTTAGGCCTACTGTGTTTGCCTAACCTACACCACAAAAAAAGTTATAAAATTCGGTCGGATGCATGGGTGACCCTATTTACGACCGTCATGACTTACAACCATGATGGGCAAGCTCCATTACAATCATCCATCAAGGACTACCTCTTTTAAGATATTATGATCTGAAATAAAGGTCTATTTCAGCAATTAGCGGTGGATTTTCACTTGCCAGTTCCAATGTGAAAACTGAAAGCAAGGTTCCATAGTTTATTATAATTTTTAAGACATTTGAAATATACCAGAAGAATATGTTTTCATATTCTCCATCCTTGCAGTATCGTCCCAGAATTTAGGACGGTGCAATCATATTTTCTTTAAGGAAATTAAGGTCTCTTGTTTTATGTTACTTCAAAATCTTGAACTGTTTTAAGAAATCCAAATTTCAGGCTGAACGTGGGATTATGTGCCACCAAGGCTCCAAAAGGCTACAATCAAAATAAATGAGGCAAAACTGGGCACATTACCTTTTCATGAACACAACTTCAGAAGGGTCAGCACAACTGATGTCACGTCCCTCCCACCTGCAGAGGGAAAAAGTATTTCTTCATGGCTGTTCTTTAGGAGGAACGCTGGGGCTATCCTAAGATCTTTATTGTCTTGTAATTTTACTGCACCCATCAAGCACAGAGATTAATGGGTAAAACGAAATCACAAGTCTGTCGCTTTATGAGGCGTTTCCAACGATAAAGAACCTACAGTTAGGCTCCATCGGGATAGACCTCAATATTGCTCTTTCAATATTGTTATAGCTATACAGGTTCTACCTACTGTTTTGGGACTCAGGTTTTATCAGAATAAGATATCTATTACATTTTACCACCTCCAGTTCGAGTATTACATCAGCTAAAAATGTATTGGCAGGTGTGTAAAAACCCAGACAACGTTCAATTTACTGCTCACAATTTGAAAGATAAAAAGGAAATGAGATTCCATACCAAGCCGTGCCTTTTTCTTCATCTGAAGCAGCTGCAGTTCACTTGTGCTGTGGGCTCACGTGGAAAAACCAGCTGCCAACTTGCAGCTGCAGAAAAACATACATTGAATAGGAGGGCAAGGCTATCACAAACAGCTACCTTCTTTTCCTATATCATAGGAAACCTCAGCTAACAATTTCCTACCTTGCAAGTTTGTTAAGTTGGGCTGAGATATACCAGCAAGCTTGACGAGACTTTAACTTAGGTTTCCCCCTACCCATCCGAACCCCATTGCCAAACTGATTTCTGCAAAATTTTATTTGCACGTAGACTCATTTTAAATAACTGCTGCTTTAGCTCTGGTTTTAAGGGACCAATTTCCAAGGAAAATATAATCCATTAAAACAAGCAGCTTAATAAGGCTTTCTCCTGTTCTTAAACCAGGGAGAAAAGACTAGTCCAGGGTTAGGCAACCTTGGCTCTTTTATGATTCGTGGACTTCAACTCCCAGAATTCCTGAGCCAGCCGGGAATTGAAGTCCACGAGTCATAAAAGAGCCAAGTGTCAACGCTGCTAATATTGAATATTCTTGCTTTGACAAAATATGCAGAACCGTCTGGCACTTTTAGAGTTAACTCAGATGAGAATGGAGAGAGAGAGCAATTTGCATGGGCTTCAGAAGGAAGTGAACCTTTGCCCCCCAGGCTGGTTGGAGAACATGACTCTTCACAGCAAAAGAGGGAGGGAAAATGCTAGCAAAAATAACTGCTCCGGGATGGAGACTTCAGATCTTGGCATCCATCCATGATGTGCCGACAATATTTTATACTGTTAATAAAGGCTTTTAGGATAAACAATGCCTGGAAGTTTTTTGAAGTGTTTCATTAGTCGGAACCTTGACACCAAGGTTGCCTACCCCTGGACTAGGCTATGTCACACAAACATTCAGGATTCCCCTTTTCTCCTGATCTTTCTCTTCCCTAAAGGATCTTTTTAAAGACAGAAGAAAAGCCTTTTAATGTTATTTTCAAAGCTATATGACAGTTTCAGTTATTTCATCTAAAATGGCAACAATAAAAAGATTTCCGGGGGGGGGGGGGAATCTCTCTTCAAAAGAGCTCAGTTTGCACTCTGTCCATTCCCGTCATCACCAACTAAGGGAGCCCATTGTTCATCCACTCTAGTCCCAGGGCGTTCTCTTCATCAATTACTTCCCATTGTGCTGAGAACCAATTATGCACCATTTGTAATCTCATCACCTGCTCGGCAATATAAAATTCCAAGGAATGTTATTTTCTATAGCAAAGGCCCAGAAAGTCAACAAGCTATTGTAGAAAGGCTACTTCAATCAACTTTGTTCAGAATGGCTGTTACATCACTCTTCTCTTTTCAGAGCAGTTGAACATCTGGCCAATCATCATGACAATCTCTCATCAGTCTTAAGAAAGGAACCACAATTTTCACGCACGCCACGCTTTGGCATGACGTCCTTTGAATTTTAAAAAACCCTTCTACGGTAACCTACTAGATTCCAAACATATCTATTTTTCTATTAGTAATGGTATCAATTTCAGAATTAATTCCTTCAGTATCTTACCATTTCAGTCATAGATAGCGATGGAAGAAAATATTTGTTCAGGATTGAAGAATGAAGTCCTTGGTGCTTTCTGAGCTTGGCCATTTTCTTGCAGATTATCTCATTATCAAGCAAGGTAACATCGTCAGTGCTAGTAGGGGATAGGGTTTGTTCTCATAATCTAACTGCTTGCCTTGTTGGTAGGAGTGGCCCTGAGGGTTTGCTGTTAAGTTTGTTTGGCAGTTCCTTGACTGGGTTATTGTTTGCTTCTTGATGGTCGGTCTAATATTGATCTTGGTCTTAATCTCTGCTCATCTGGGTGTTTATTGATGGTGAGGAGTTTTCATGTCTTCTAACTGCTAATTGGCGTTTACAAACATGATCTGCTAGTCTTTTGCCTATTGGCTGTTATAGGCCTTGCAATTTATGTTGTACAGGACTCCTGTTGTTTCTTCCGGGGCTTCCAGTTTACTTCTATTTTGGAGGGCTTTAGTTGATTTGGGTGCTGCAGTGATGCCGTGTAGTTGGAATAGTCTGTTGAAGGCTGGTGCGGGTGGCTTTACAATAGATTTGCTTCTAATTTGCCATCATCACCTCTGCTGAGAATATCCAAGAAAGGTTGTTCTTTTCTTCTTTCTAGGGAATTTTACTCCTTTGAAGATGTTGTTGAAGATGTCCTTGTGTGGTCTCTACAGCTAGTTCTTTTAAATTATGACAAAGGCGTCATCTACATGCCCAATCTATATTTTGGGTTGTATGTACGGGAGTGCTACTAATACCAGGAGGCGTTGTATTATGGTCTCTGCTATTAGTCCTGAAAGTGTTGATCCTGCAGGTGTTCGTTCCTTCGATGTGTAGATATATTTGTTAGTCGAATTAAAGCAACTAAGCAATCTTGGCTCTTTTATGACTCGTGGACTTCAACTCCCAGAATTCCTGAGCCAGCATGGGAGTTGAAGTCCACGAGTCATAAAAGAACCAAAGTTGCCTACCCCTGAACCAAAGGTATGTGGTTACGCAAAGGTTGATAAGGTCCATGACTCTAGTTACTTCGATTTTGGTGTATTTGGTTAGGCCAGTGCCATGACATCAAATGATGAATATGATTTTGTCTCCACCTACAACCACGCGTTGGATTGTTTGGAGGCACTGCAGCGAGGAGTTGTTGGAGTATTTGGTTCCCTCTGTGAGATATCTGAGCTTTTTAGTCAATCTTTTAGCAATATTGTAGGTTGTGGTTCCTGATAATGATACAACTGAACAGAGAGGTATTCCTGGCTTGTACACTTTGGGGCCTCTAGAGAGGTGTGGGAGGACAGGTCCACTACTTTTCATCCGCCACTGGTCTCTTTTGGTGATCTGCCCCTTCTTGGTGAGATTGCTGAGTGTTCTTGATCCAGGTGACTAGTTTTTGTATCAGATTGGTGTTCACTGAGATGGTAAGTTCGCCTTCTAATAATTCTTTTGCTTTTTGTGTATGTTCTGATGTATCCATGATAACCCTGGTTCAACCTTTGTCTGCTGGAAGGATGATGATAATTTGGCACTTCTTTTAGGTTTTTGAGGGCTGCTGTGTCTTCTGCTTTGAATTGGTTCCTACCTTCTTGTTTGGTGCTTTCTTGGGCCTCTGTGGGGAATCCTCTGGTTTTAAATGCTCCTTCTAAGGCTAGTAAAGGTTTCTAGTTGGTTGGCATCCCCTGGGCTATTAGTTTTGGCCTTTCTGTAAGAATGTTGTGAGGTAGATAATGGGCAGCTGAACATGTTAACCAGCCTTTTGGGCTCCAACCTTTGATACTGTGGTTTTAGTTTGGCTTTCCTTTTTCCAGCTTGTCTCAGGGAAGCAGTCTTGATGTGGTTGTCAGCCTTTCTATATGCTCTGGTGTGGTCTTGTTCCTTCAGCTTCTCCATGGTATGTTGATATTTGTGCACACTGGGATCATGAGTCGTATTTTCCCCCATCATCAGCACAGCAGCTTGAAAACCATCATCAGCCATAAGCAAATACTTTGGGTTCCTTTAAAAAAAAAGAGAGAAAACGTTTGCTTTGACTAAATCGGGTCATTTGTCTAAATCTGACAGTTTCTTTTTTTCCATTTCAATGAACAATGTGTTTTATCGAACTGATTTACCCCATTGCAACAGATTCTAGCATTGACTTATACACCTTCCGGTATCTTTATTTTGCTAATAAAACTGCAGGATAAATTTATCCCAGGTCTCATTGTCATCAATATAACTTGTTTTACAATGATGGAAGCAGAACCTGTGTTTTCTGTAGCCTCATTGCATCGTTTGGCAAACACAAAATGAGATGTGCCCACACTGAGTACTTCAAATGAGGCAAGAATTTTAACTTGAGTCCACAGTACAAACCCCTGTATTCCCTTGGGGGGGGGGGGAGAGCAATTATTCCCTTCAAATTAAAAGAAAAACTATTACCTTCAAAGATTTGCTCAAACAATTGCAGCTTGAGTCTACTTTTTGTCAGGATTTTTCCTAGAAAAGAAAATATTTTATTATGACATTTTTCAAGAACAGAGGCTGTATAATACAGGTAGTCCTCGACATACGACCACTACTGGGTCCAAAATTACCATTGCTAAGCAAGGCAAATGACTAGCACCCAATTTCATGGCCCTTTGGGCATAGTTGTTAAGCAATCACTGCAGTTGCTAAGTGAATCATGCAGTTGTTCAACAAATCCAGCTTTCCTCTCAATTTTGCTTGTTGGAAACCAGCTAGAGGGGCCGTAAATGCCAATCACAACTGTTGCATAGACTTCCAGTCTGCATCCTAGCAATGCAGCCAAGGGAAAGCGGGGCTCTACTCCCCACAGCTGATTTCTCTCTGCCAGGGGGCCCTAAAGGGGTCTAAAGTTGCCCCGGAGATGCGGTGAAGGAAGGGATCCTTGTCGATCACAGAAAGATGGTAGTCGATCTGTTTGATCCAAGGAAAGCCCTCCAAACCAGCAGAGGAAAGACTAGTTGCATTTCTGTAGCTAGCCTCAAGCTACTGACAACCAAAGAAAGAAAGCACTCATTAGCAGATAGTGAACAGCGTGTTTGGTACTGAGTAAGAAAACTGATCCTTTCTCTACTACTCTGATACACAATTCCCTGGAAAAGACAAATTCCCCAAAAAAGCAATAAAGTCCTCAAACGCGAGAAGGGGATTTTTACGCCACACTTCCAGAGAAACAACTGTTGTTAAGTACAAATTTTGATCACTTCATCTGAGGAACTATCTTTCTGCTGACAGAGAAAAACCAGCAACTAACGGTCTACTTGTTATACCAGTCACAGTATGGCAGTGTTAACAGGGAGTTCTTAATTTCCTTTGGTGCACACTGGTGGCCTGAGCCAACACTTTTAACTCTTCCTCCCTGTCTCAACAAAAATACCAGGTTGCACAAGCACAGCAGCTTGAGAACCAACGATGCCACATGCTGAATTGATCTTGCACTGTTTTTTGAACAAGCCATCAGTAACAACTGCTGGATGCAGATACCATACAGTGCGGTTATCGTTTCTTTTTTCAGAGCTGCAAAGATACCTGTGTACTGCACAGCCCCAAACCACATTTTAATAAGGGATGTGAAACTTTCAGGAACATTCATCTCTGAAACTGATCCTTTCATGTATTTCAAGTACTAATTGGTGCCAACGTACCTTTATCTTCCACCAAAATTGGTTTTCCAGTCTTTATTTTCCAGGAGCCTGAAATGAAGAATTGTCCATGCATCAGGAAACATTCTTACGAATATTTCAAATACCACGTATTGTGCTAAGCAATCAAAGGTTTAATTTTACTAGCTAATTGAGAAAAATGTGTTAACACTTACAAAAGATAAAATAAGCTTGAGAATCATTTAAATGCCTATAGTTTCTGTGCTGTATTGGCAGTCCTTGACTTATGACTGCAATGGAGCCTGCCCATCACGGCTGTAACTTGTTCTGGGTATAAGTCAAGGGCACTCACCTGGCCAACCCAATTTTACAAGTTTTTTCATGGTAGTTGTTAAGCACACACCAGGTTCGTTAAATAAACCAATAGCTCACTTTGGGCCAGTTTTACCATATACAATGCTTTTTTTTTTTTTTTTTAGCAAAACCATTGTAAAACACAAGTCATGTGATGGTGAGATGCTGCAAACAGCTGAAAATGTGGCACAGTTGCAAAGTGCCTGAAGTGCAGTCATGTGAATGCATGTGTGTGTGTGTGTGTAAAAGAGAGAACAGCAGCAGCCATTGGAACTTTGAATTTGTGCTGCAAGTAACCCCAAGGAGATCTGACGTATCTTTGAACGGTTGTTCAGGAGCTCATCAGAAGTCAAGTACACTACCTGTAAAGTTTCTTGTACTAGTCAAACAAACTTCATGCGTTCAGATTATTCTAATGTGAAATCAAGGCCCAGATATGATGATGTCCCTTCCTTTAAGTAACACAGCAAATACAAATTAGCTGTGGGTTGCAAAGAAGGTTGTATTATTAGCACTGACTCCAACGGCTTTCATCTGAGAGACCAGTCAAAACCTGGAGTTGTGCTGCCAAATAATAACAGAAAAAATTCTAAATGTCTGAATACTTTACAAAACTACAAAGCACAATATATATCGAGGTGGGCAACTCTTGGCCCCCTTTACAACCTGTGGACTTTAACCTTGGGACTTCTGAGAGTTGATGTCCACAGGACATAAAGGAGGCCAGAGTTGCCTACTCCGGGTCTGTCTTTATCTTAGACAATCAGTGGCAGAAAATCAAAGCTCTTTTTTTCCTGATGGAGGTTTTAAAGCAGTGTTTCCCAACCTTGACAATTTTAAGGCATGTGGACTTCAACTCCCAGAATTCCACAGCCAGCATTGCTGGCTGTGGAATTCTAGGAGCTGAAGTCCACATGCCTTAAAATTGTCAAGGTTGAGAAACACTGTTTTAAAGAAACCCATTAGCCTCCACTTTGAATCAGAAAGATGTTTTGTGGGGGAGAAGAGAATGATGCAAACTTACTTCCCACATAAGCTGAATTGCAGACCTTTTCTTTTCCAGATGGTATTGACGGCCATTTACATAGCAAAGCATGAAAACCAGGGTTTGTTTGTTTTTTAGCATAGCTGAAGCTGGATTGCACTGCACCATGTGCTAGATGACATCAGTCTATGCCACCTTCTGAATTTCTGTCCAGTTTATGTTCTATTTAAAGCCAAAGCTCAGACGCCCATCAGCCAATTGAAAAATATTAAGAAAGCAATTCAGCTGAGTCGCTACGTGATGCAGATCAAGTCTCTGAAAGAGAACTATTTGCAGAAATGTTTAAACTAGGGGGAGCTCTGAGCAAATGGAATAGAATTCTTTATCGGCCAAGTGCGATTGGACACACAAGGAATTTGTCTCCAGCGCACCCCATACACCCATCAAGATAAAGAGGGGCTTCAATTAAAAAAATTCAGCTGAGTCATAATGGCTTCATTTAGCTTCAATCGGCTGCAGAGATCAAGGTTGGTAGGCTTTTTAGCCCAATGACACCAGTTTTCCCCATCACCTTTCTTGTTCTGCTCCCAGATTAGAGATTTCCAAATGGAATCCATCAAGGGGGCCATTGTGGCAGCTGATCCTTTGTCAAAACTTTCAGGAGGGCAAGAAAACACAATGAACTTGATCTGAGCAAGGAGAAATTAAGCAAATGCAAGGCATCACAGTAGACTATGAGAGGTTGAATGCATCCATTTTCCAAGCTGAGGCATTTCAGGAATAGCGAAATCACAAAAGCTTCTGCAAAGAACAATCAGCCCCGATCAATTTTTGCCTCATCCAGTTGTCCTCGAACCTTCATTTGAAATACTGCGCATCATGGAGGACAGCCAGTGGTTTTGCTAGTTCAAAAAAACAAGAAAGAACACATCAGGTATATATCAATTTGCAGCATTAACCCAGGTTCTATTAAAGATACACAATGTCATTTACTATGGGTTTTTCCCCCCAGCATTTGTTCAGGTAGCCAATTTGTTCAAGTTGCCTCATGCTAACAATTTCCTCTGCACTCAATTCTGATCAGAGTATTAGGTTTAGTTCATTTGTGAATCACTTAGCAGTTGAACTAAAAACAGTCATCACAGGAACTGCAGTGCAGATTTTATGAGGGCAATTCCAAACTAAACCTCCGTTTGGTTATCAATGACACTCACAGACACAGAATGTTTATCGTACACATTAGAGGGCAACAACATTACATTACTTTTCAACATAATCGCCATTCCAATTGAGGCACTTGTCATAACGTCTTACAAGGTTTGAAATTCCTTAGTAGTAGACGCTGGGCACCAAATCTGGGCTATAGGAGAATGATCAAAAACATCCCAATGAAACTGCTTCAAAAGTTGATGTGTCTAGCGGTGTGCGGGCATTATCGTGAAGTGGTGCCATAGAAAATCCCACCAAATGTGAAGATGCCAAAGGAGTAACTGCTAGTGAAGTTCATGGAGCGTGGTTCGACCATCAATTCAGACGTCTACTGTGAAACATTACGAGCCATCCATAACAAGCATTGGGGCACGCTGACTTCCAGTGAAGTATTGGTTCACGATAATGCTCGCCCGCATACCGCTAGACGCACCAACTTTTGAAGCAATTCCGTTGGGATGTTTTTGATCACACCCCCCCCCATAGCCCAGATTTGGCGCCGAGCGATTACTAAGCAATTTCAAACCTTGTAAGACGTTATGACAAGTGCCTCAATTGGAATGGCGATTATGTCGAAAAGTAATGTAATGTTGTAGTTTTCTAATGTGTACAATAAAAGTTCTGTGTCTGCTGAGCGTCTGTCATTGATAACCAAACGGAGGTTTATTTACAAATTGCCCTTGTAGATCCAATTATATATTCTACACAACAGAACACTGACATCCCCTAAAAGCCACTGAAGATGTTACCTAGCCTGGTGACAAAATGTTCGGAAACCAATACACAAGCCTGGAGAACAAACCTTCATCCTCATCCTACACCCGAGCAAGATATTTGGCACTATTACACATATCCTCTTGTTGTCTGGATTACTGGCTTTAGCGAGTGCTACCAAGAATTTAGAACTCACCACACCTCATAAATACAAATTTTAAGTGGTAAGAAAACACCTTTAACATATTAGGATAAGGGGGTGAATGATACATATGTGCCCTCATTGTGACAAAACTGTGATTGGTTCATTGTTATGCAAAATTTGTGCACATAAAAGCTGTAAAAGCCACTGTGTCTGATGTTCAGAAAGAATTTTACAGTTAAGCGCTGAGAGAGGAAAGAAAGAAAAATTATACCTAAATACCTGGCCTGTATTTTGCTTGCCTCTAAGAGGCTTTATTAAGGTAGCTTGGATCTTCAGAACGGTACATTTTTGCATTCGATGATTTCTTTTTTTTCTTGGGAATCTTGCTGCTTAATATGAAACAGCTGTTGTCCTGGAAAAGAGAAACCAGTAGGGCACTGAAAAAGAATGCCAGTATCAGAGCAGAATCTCAACTCATTTCAAAAATGTATTTTGCAAAGAAGAGGCAGGCAGGCAAATCTGCTGGCACTCTGGAAACAGGTAAATACCTGGGATGCCCTGGGTTAGTGGTTGGTCTCCTTGTCCATTAGTTTAAGAGGGGGGATATTGTTAGCAAGACTTGCCGCCAGTTCTTGCAATTTTAATTTATCTTCTTCTAACTTACTCCATTTCCATTTTCTTTCCTTCTTTTCCACCTCTTTTAAGTCTTATTTTTGCAGGGCCCTGAACTAACACAGAATTCTGAACACAGAAAACTGGGGATCTAACACTTTAGTTTCTGCAACAAGTTGTGCAGCCTTATTCTGCAAGATCCAAAACAATGAGCAACAGGATGGCTCAGAGAAGCCTTGATTTAGGGACAGTCCTTGATTTTAAGACTGTTCACACCTTACAGAAAGTTAACCTACAAGTGTCCTTGTGCTTACAACTGTTGTATAACCCCCCCAGTCATAATTGCAATTTGTGTCCTTGGCAGCTGGCTCACATTTACAATCAGTTGCAACATCCTGTGGTCACATAATCATAATTTCTAACATTTTTTGCCAACTCCCAGAAAAAAAAATGGCCACTAGAGAAGCTGTATTTGCTTAATGACTACTGTAAAAATTGGGTCTGTTTCAACTTGTGATGGCAATGACTAAGACAGAAATTCTGGTTCCAATTGTGGTCGTAAGTCGAGGACTACCTGTAGAAATATGGAAAGTAGGAATGCTAATTTTTACAAAATTGCACACAATTAATTTTGCATTGGCCTGATTTCTAATGCATTTTCCCAAGATAGAGTGATAGTAGAATTGATGTGGCAAGCTTCAGTTATCGGAAACTTACCACTACTCTGGCACCAATGTTTTCATTCCCAGAAACCTCATCGTTGCTGAAACAGAACAATTATCGTATTAGACTTACATCCATCTTCTCCGGCACAATGTCTCCAGAATATGATTACACTTTCAGCTGAATTTATGTTCTAAGCCTTCAATATCCAGCCTTCATTTAGCCTTACCATTCACATTTTTCTTTTTACCTCTAGCCTTAGCTGCAGAACCTGTATCATAAAGCTACAACTTCAGTTCAGTCGGAAATGTGTGGCTTTTTTAGTTATTTTTTCAAAATTATGCATACCCCTTGACTTACGACCGATCACTCCTCCATGGGAATCAGTTAACAGCAACTACAAGGACTAGGATAGCTGTCACTAAGCAATGCAGTTGCACTTTGTGACTCCATTACTTAGCGATGGAAATTCCAGCTCCCAATTGTCAAGAGCAAATCAAGGGCTACAGGTAGTCCTCGACTTACAACCAGAGTTGAGCCCAACATTTCTGTTGTTAAGTGAGACAGTTGAGTTTTATGCCCCTTTCTTGCCAGTTAAGTGAATCACTGCAGCTGTTAAATTAGTAACATGGTTGTTAAGTGAATCTGGCTTCCCCACTGATTTGTCAGGTCACAAAAGGGGATCACATAACGTTGGGACACTGCAACCATTATAAATATAAGTCAGTTGCCAAGTGTCCAAATTTTGATCATGTGACCATGGGAGGGGTGCTGCAATGATATTAACTGTGAAAACAGTCAAGCCACTTTTTTTCAGTGCCACTGTAACTTTGAACCGTCACTAAACAAATGGTTGTAAGTCAAGGACTACTTATACTTGTATTATATTCAATGAAGAGAATAGGGGGCATTTAGTACAAAGCTGATTATATTTTTATTTGGGGCAGCTAAATTCTTAATCCCTGAAAATATTTGGATTCTTTTTATCAATTGAAAAATGACCCTTGAGTAAAATTTCATCAGAAGCTTTACACCAGTGGTTCTCAACCTTTTTAATGCCGCAACCCCCAACCGGTCGTAAGTCGAGGACTACTCAACCGGTCGTAAGTCGAGGACTACTCAACTGGTGCAGCACCGTTTGCAGAATGGGACTTTTGGCGGGCTCAGCAGGGCAAAGACAGCCTGGACAATTCCTATTGGCTTTTGAAAGCCAATAGAATTAGACTCTATTCAAGAGAGTCTATTCTATTGGCTTTCAAAAGCCAATAGAATAAAAGGGAGTAGCACAGCTAAGGAAAAGGGGGAAAAATGGCAGACTGCGTTGTTTGGCGACCCCCGTGAAATGGTCATTTGACCCCAAATGGGGTCCCGACCCACAGGTTGAGAACCACTGCTTTACACAAAAAGGTATCGGATAAAATCATATGGTCTATTAAGATCAGACTGTTTGGTATTAAACGGCAAAGTTCAATTAAAACTTCAAGAATCACACAATTGTGGCTGGGCTTTGGATTGCAAAACCCAACCTTAGGAGGTCTAATTGTACCTACTTGGTCTCTGCAATGGGAGAAATGGGTCCATCGTCGTCCAGGTATTTGTGCCTCCGTGATTCCAAGCATTCATTTTCAAGATCGCCTTCAGCATTCAACTGCGTCAAGGACTTCTTCAAATGATGTTCATATTTCAACATTTCAATGTATTTGAAAAACCCCTTCAAAGCTGCATGCTGGGAGAGAAGAATTTATTTTTTTTCAGCCACAAACAAAAGTGCATGTCTAAAAACCACTCAAAAATCAATACAGGACAAAATTGTCAACTGCGAAGTTTTCCTTCCATCAACACAATCATGAAGCAGCCAAGCATTCTCAAGGAAACAATTCAGAGCCTAGATCAGCCTTCCCAACTCATGCTAACCACCTTTAAAACATCTGGAGGTTTCTTAATTAGAGGGTTAAAGGGAGATGTTGAGATAAGGGGAATTTTGGTTATTAGATTTAAAATACTTACAAATTAGTTGAAAATAAGGATTTTATTTTTTTAATATTTAAAAATTAAACCTTAAAAGGGAAAAGAAAATGAATTACCATGAATATGTTTGATTTATTAACCCAGGCAATATATATATAATGGTTTTGATTTATTAAAGGGGATGTTGTGTTATTAAGTAGATGATTTAATATGGTGGGAAACAGACAACTTTTAGGAAATAGATTATACTCAAATAGATAAAATGTGTATTTTGGATATTATATTTTGTTATGAATTGAGACAAGGGAAATGTTGGTTACCCAAAGCCTGAAAATTATAAATATCAAAGGTTAAATTGGAATATTGATGGGAAACTAAAAACTGGGCAAAAATGAATAACGGGATATGGATTGTTTACGAAGATTGAATGTAATTAAGATATGTATAAGCTAAAAATGTATTGATAAATGTAATAATAATGTTTTTACTGAGTTGATATAATTAGAATTGTACTAGCTTGAATAGGAGACAGTGAATGTTAAGAGAAAAAGAGAAGAAATATCTGATGTTGTAACCTGAGATTTGCACTAAAGATTTTGTTATTGAACTATTAACCCAGTCACCACGTTGCTTTTTAAATATTTAAATATAAAACTGGAAAATTAATAAAATGTTATTAAAAAAAAAATATCTAGAGGACAGCAAGTGTGTGGACGACAGCCGCAAAAACATTACAGGTATTCGACTCACAAGTTTGTTTAGTGACTATTCAAAGTTACAATGGCACTGAAAAAAAACTGAGTTAACACTTTTTACACTCTTATGACCGTTGCAGCATCTCCATGGTTGTGTGAGATTTACATTCACATGCTTGAAAACTGGTTCGTATTTATGACGGTTACAACATCCCGGGGTCACGTGATCGTCTTTTGCAACCTTCTGACAAGCAAAGTCAATGGGGAATCCAGATTCATTGAACACCCGTGCTACAAATTTAAGAACTGCAGGGATTGACTTAACAAATGGAGCAAGAAAACTCGTAAAATGGGGGCAAAACTCACTTAACAAATGTCTCAGCAACATAAATTCTGGGCTCATTGGTCGTAAGTTGAGGACTACCCCTACTGAACATTTCCCCCCCCCCAAAAAAAAAGTAGTGTGGAAGTATAATTTACCTCATATTCTCGCACCATTTTTAAAGGAAGGTGCTTCCGGCCGTAGTATTTCTCCACAAAAGGAAATACAATTCCTCTGTCTTTCATTCTCCTCCTCTGCTCCTCTTCTGGAATTCTGTGCCTTTCTGGCCATTTTCTGTCATACTTGTGAGGTCTACTCACTTTCCTCTCCGTAGGGGTCCATCGTTTGCGGAAGCGGTGCTGCTTTCTTGTGAAGTGGTAATCAAAGAGGGCTCGAAGATCAATTTTAGGTTTGGGTAACTTCGTCTGGCTCTCGCCCTTCGTATGAGCTGGGGAAGGACCGCTCTGCATGGCCACGGACGATGCCCTCTTGCTGAATTCAAAGCTTTTTTTCCTGGAGCGCTTTGATGAATGTGGGCCAGATCTGAGGTAACGAAAGGTAAGAATTACTCCTTAGTAGCACTGCAGATTTGTCCATCTCTCCCCCACTCCCAGCAAGTCCAAACCAATGCTGAGGATGGATGATTAATTTCTGATTCATGCCAATAACTTTTCAATTGAGATGGATGCAAAATGGCTACTTGGAGGGGTTCTACCTATAAAGCATAGTAGAGAACCCAGCTCTCTGTGGCTAGAACACAGGTCGGCAACCTGCGGCTCCGGAGCCGCATGCAGCTCTTTGAGCCTTCCCCTGTGGCTTCCAGCGTCCTCTGCCTTTGCAGAGACAGAGACAGGCAATTGCGCTTCCCTGCTTCTCTCTCTCTCTCTCTCTCTCTCTCTCTCTCTGTGTGTGTGTGTGTGTGTGTGTGTGTGTGTAAAAGAGTGCACTCACAATGTTCTCCAAGGAGCTGAAAAGCTTACTGGGCGGAGCTCCTCCCTTTGCTGCTCTCTGCAGGAAGCAGGAAGGGCAGGAAAGAGCTAGCTAGCCCAGCTAGGCTGACTCAGGAATTCTGGGAGTTGAAGTCCACGAGTCATAAAAGAGCTGAGGTTGCCTACCCCTGAGCTTGTTGGACAACAGCTTGAAGCTTGTCAGGTGAGCAGCAGATAGGAGAGGGGGGGAGAGAAAGAGAGAGAGAAAGAGAGTGGAGGAAGAGGAGTGGCAGACCAAGGGCAGATAGAGAGGGAAGGAGAAAGAGACAGAGAGAGAGACCCTTTTGACATCTAAAATGAAGATAACACTGCATATATCCTTTTTTTACCTGTGTGTATGTATGTATGTGTGTATGTATATACACACACACAAACATACACAAACACACACACACCCCTATAATAAAGGTAAAAAGGGATATATGCAGTGTTATCTTCATTTTAGGTATCAAAGGGGTTTTGCGGCTCCCAGTGTTTTGTTTTCGGTGGGAAACAGGTCCAAGTGGCTCTTTGAGTGTTTTGGGTTGCCTACCCCTGGGATAGAATTACACACGAGCCCAAAGGTATATCATGGCTTGGTATGGGAAGCCAGCTATCATGGTTTATACATGTGACTTTCTTACAGAGCACATGGAATCAAGAAGAAAAATGACATAGGAATAGGAAAAGAGATAATTTCCCTACAAACTTTATATATAGGAATCTGTTAAAAACCTGCCTATTCTTCCAGGCTTTGGGACAAGGGGATGCCTGAGCTATGTTGGATGGGGTTTTGTTCTTTAGATATTTTACCCTCTTTTTAAACTATAAGCCATCCAGAATCACTATTATAGGCAGTCCTCAACTTACAATTCGTTTAGTAACCGCTTGAAGTTACAACGGCATTGAAAAGTGACTTATGATCTTTTTTCACTTAAATGACCATTGTAGCACCTCCATGGTCACATAATCAAAATTCCGGTGCTTGGTAACTGACTCACATTTATGACGGTTGCAGTGTCTTGGGGTCATGCGATTTCCTTTTGCAAACTTCTGACAAGCAAAGTCAATGGAGAAACCAGATTCACTTAACCATGTTACTAATTTAACAACTGCAGTGATTCACTTAACAAATGTGGCAAGGAAAGTCGTAAAATGGGGCCAAACTCACTGAACTTGGCCACATAAATGTTGGGTTTATCAGCTAGAAATAGTATTAATTCCAAATGAAAAGGTCTTAGACTAGAAGTGGAGACATTTTTTCCCTACAATATTTGGGAAGCTATTAATAGGAGACAATCCAATGTACAGACTAAAGCTAGCTATCCAATATGACTAATTAAAACATAGTTTGCTGAATATATGCAATGAAATGCAGAACTAATTTATTATTAAAGATATGACTTTCATGACTTCAATAAATAGCACTCACATTTCTGTATCTTGGTTATCAGGAACAGCTTCAGCTGCTAAAGTTCCTTTTTCATTAGCTACATTTGTTTTTGACCTTGAAAAGATAACAGAAATTAGTTTCACAGAATCAAGGTTGAAATACCTAAAGCTGTCTATAAGTCATGAAATCCCAAGCAAACTAATTCAAGAAAAAAAAATCAAGGTAAAGATTTGCTCAACATTTTATATATATATACAGATCTGATTTACCACAATGTTTTTAATAAGCTGTTTTGTTCAGTAATCTACAAAATCTCCAATTAAAATTAACAAACAGCAAAATCATTGTAATTAATAGAAACAATTAGCATCCACTGGAAACAAGAGCTAAAAGATATAGCTTTACAGGCAGTATTCAATATTTGCATTCCAGCAGGTTCCTTGCTTATTTAAAAAGACCACCCCAAATCTTGTCAATATGCAACAAAAAAAATCCAAAATAACTTCTACCCTCTTATGATCTGGAGTATTTGTGAGAATTTATATAGAGACATCTCAAAGAATTATAAGACTTGACTCCCTTAACAAGGTTTAACAACAATAGTGGTTTTTTGGAAGTTGAGTCATGGCAATTGCACTTTTTTTTTGTTTGAAACTTTGGGAATATCAACCCTATCCTTCCCTCCCTCCTTAACAACTCTATTCATTTCTATTAGGCAAGAAATGAAACCACCCCAGGGAGGACAGAGAAGGGGTTCCCCCTTATCAACTTCCTCAGACTGAAGAAGCTACTTGGATAAGCAGTGAAAAATTTCAAACCAAGAAAGAAAAGAACTCTAGTTTGCGATGCCAATTTCCAGTCAATTCTACCTGGATGACTATGAATCTCCAACGCCATGCTGCCCAAGTTTACATAGCATGCTACATCCAAAAGTCATATCATGCCTTGATGTGATGTATAAACCTAGCCTTTTCTACGCCAATAATTATCTTGGAGAGAGGTTGAAGGTCACAACGTGGGTGAGTGAGTCCATGTTTAGGGTAGATTTTTTTACTGGGATAGGCCTATTATAGGACTTGCCCATCTCAAAATGACACTTTCTGTAAATTTTAGCAATTACGGATAAGAACTGCGGAGATCACTTGTCCAATTCCGATTTTTCTTCTATCTGGTCGAAAGCAAGAAGGCGGGGGGACCGGGGAGAATGAATCAGGAACTTAAAATCCTAATTAGGGAGTCACGTATCTCGCGCTAAGCCACCGGCTTGATGGAAGACATCATTGCTCATCTCATCTATCACCCTGCCTAAACCGTCCAGCCAACCAACCATATTGCGGTCTAACACGACGGGCGAATTAGAGCAACAGCCGTCAATCGCATGCAGGTTTCTATCGAGATGGCGGCATACAAGCTTGATGAATAAATACATAAACAAGCAGCGCTGAACCCAGACCAGAAACCCAACGGATGGCAACGGATTCCACACAACTCACCTCATCACGCGTATCGCCAAGGCCGCGAAAGCCCCGGCGGGCCGCTTATATTCGACTTCTGATCTCGCGAGTCTTCGTAAATTTAACGTCACAGAACGGGAAGGAGAATGGGTGAGGCCGGGCGCGCCCTTTTGAAAGTGGTCAAAAGAAGCTCTGGGAGAGGCTGCGAGCTTAAGCCTTGAGAAGTTGCTCCGGGTAGAGGATATGTTCTGCGCGCGCGCGCCTTTCTTCTAGTGCTGTAAGTAAAGCCAATGCAACCAGGGGCGTACTTTGCACGATTTGCATTGGGAGAAGTACTAGTTTAAGGCAGTAATTAAGGCTCCGACTTAATACCTTCCATAAGTGGTGGTCCCAGCTCAATCTTTGGCTGTTGGCTGTGGCTGATGGGATTTAACACATTTGGAAAGAGGAAAAACGCGGAACCTGCAAGGTGTGTTTACACGGGAGTAATCCCTATTGTACTTAATGGAGCTTCTATAGGAGCAATAAAACTTGTATCGGACTCCAGGCAAATTTGCCGAACTTTGAGGCTACTTTACTTTGGAGAAACCTCTGTTGCAAATAGGTGGTGGGGTTTACATGCTAAGAAAAAGGTTGGGTAGTCTTGTGCAGGGGGCATCTTGTGCAGGTTCAACCTGGGTAGTTACAGTACTTTGTGTTCCAGGGTGTAAATTCAGAAAATGGGTGTTTTAGAAGAGCAGTGTTTTCCAAAACTGGGGACTTCTGGGAGATGAAGTCCACACAAGTTATCAACGTTTGAAAATTACTGTTCTAAAGCCAGCCCGGGCACAACCGTTGAAACCTCACTTCTGAATAGGTTGCATTTTTATTACTCCTCTCAGAATTTCTGCCTTAGGAAATGTTAAATGGCTTGAGATGCTCCTGATGAAAATGTTAACTGAAAACTATAAAAGACTGAGATGGCAATTTGGATTGGTATAAATAATACACAGGAGACTTTCTAGGAAGTAGAATGTAAGTTTTGTAAAGTGTTAGAAAAACATTAGCACGATAAATAATACTTTTTAATGTGATAAGTTTATCACTGAACTTTAAGAGGAATTGATAAATTCATACTTGGAGAAATGAGCTAATATTGTAAACAAGCTGTTCTCAAAACCTTGGGAAATATGTAGCCCTGATAATGACAATTTGCATGATTAGTGGTTTCAACTGCCATTATAATTAATTTCTTCTTGCGAAATGAATTCCCTTCACTTTTTTTTCTATAGAACTTAACACATTCCAAATCCTTCAAGTTGTTCCTAGGCAGTAGTTAATTGGAGCTTACTTCCAAATAATGTCAGCTGGTGAAGAAAAAAAATCCATTTTTTTTGTTAACGTTTGATTTGAAGCAACCAGCAAATACACTTATCAAATCTAATGTCTGTAAACAGTCAACAATTGAGAAGTTTGTTTCTAAGTGATACAGACTATGTGTGAATGACTAACTATGGTTTATTGCAGGGGTGTCAAACTGCCAACCCAGGGGCCAGATGCGTCATGATAAAACCACACTCACCTCAGCTCTGTCAATGGGGAAAAAGTAATGATATGTCACGACATGTCACGTGACGTAGCGAGTTTGACACCCCTGGTTTATTGAGTAAACCATTGCATCATTCACACATTGCCTTAAACCAGTGTTTCTCAACCTTGACACTTTTAAGGCATGTGGACTTCAACTCCCAGAATTCCACAGCCAGCAATGCTGGCTGTGGAATTCTGGGAGTTGAAGTCCACATGCCTTAAAATTGTCAAGGTTGAGAAACACTGCCTTAAACCATAAATCAGTTTACAAAATACTAACGTCTATGTTCAAACAAACCATCTATGAATCCAGGCTTAAAGTAAGAACAGTATTGCAGCCATGTACTATGTTTGATTTACTTACATTATCTGTAGAAAAATATTCAGTTAGATTTATTCCTTTACACTACAGTGAAATTGCTGGCTTATACTGTACACATACTTTTTTCCTGTCCAAAGTAGTTGTGATATTGCGGATGCTGATTCATCAACTGTATTGCTTGTTGAATCATCTGTTTTTTTCCTCTGAATAATCAAAAAGAGCAGATGTGAACACCGACATTAACAATGGAAGGAAAGACTGAAATAGTGAAACAGACAGCAGAGCACAATAGGCCCATGACTTTTTAAACATGTAACGCTCGCAGAAATGACTGAACATGTGTACTGTTAAAGCTTGGATTTAATCGCAAAACCAGTATGTTCATTAACAGACCTGTAACCTGTTCTTCGTGTACTTTGATCTCTTAGGAGCTGACCTGCCTGATTAGCTGCCTGGAATAAAACATGGCTAGAGTGGAAAAATTTGCTTTTCACACACCTACTCTGGAAGAAGTGGCTGTTGGTAAGCAAGCATGTTTCTTTTGTGTTAGAAAAGCTATGAGAGAAGAATCAGTATAACAGCAGCAGCTAGAAAAGCAGGATATAGTGCCCGATATAGAACATTGTGTGTATTTGTTTGAAAGGGAGGCAAGCTTTCTTCCCCCATGTAGAGATGTCTTTGAAGGGAACACTTGGAAGTCATTATAGAAACAAGGGCAGAAGCATTCCTTAAGCCCCAGGAAAGGTGAGTTTCAAGAAAACTCCCATCAACACAAAGAGTCTGTCGCTGTAGCTGTTTCAGTAAAATATAGTTACAGATAGTCTTTGCTTAGCCATTTGTTCAGCAACTGGTGCTGAGCAAATGATAGTTAGTTAATGGGCTGTTGCAGCACCTCTGCAGTCACATAATCAAAATTTGAGTGTTTGGCAACTGGCCTGCACTTACAACCACAGCACTGGTGGTGGAGCAGTGGTTAGAATGCAGTATTGCAGGCTAATTCTGTCCACGTCCTGGACTTCGATCCTGACAGGGCTCAAGATTGACTCAGCTTTCCATCTTTCCTAGGTTGGTAAATGAGGACCCAGATTGCTGGGGGCAAGATGTTGACATTTGTAAACTGTTCAGAGAGGGCTGTAAAACACTATGGAATGGTATATAAACCTACTTGCTAAATGCACCCCTCATTTCTGCCTTTTTGGCTCCTTGCACTCTGCTGCCATCATCTACCCCTGCTGGTGCCCTGTCCCACCTGATCTTCGATGTCTTCTGCTGGTGATCCAGGATCCAGATGCTAAACAAGGACATAGCCCCAGGATGCCTGAAGCAAGTGTGACAGAGCCTTGTTTACCAAAGGGCATTCACTGGGTCTGGCTAGGAGGAAGCAGAGCAGCATCCTCCACCACAGCAGAAAGATTGCAGTGGAAGGGATTACAAGAGAGTAAGCAGCCACACAATGGGGAATATACCAGGTTATTTGCATACCACACTTGCAGTTGCTAGTGCATTGCTTTCAATATGTATTTCCCATTGTGTGCTTACTCTCTTGTAATCAATCTCTGCTTTGTGAGGAGGTAAAAATAAAAAATGAGTCAGGCACAGGACAACACATACTGACTAATGGTGATCACATGTTTGAGGAACGTGTGACAGTTGTAAATATGAGCATTGGTTGTAACGTTATTTTTTTTCAGCATTGTTATAACTGAATGAGGCAGTAAGTGAGGACTATCTTTGTAAGTATATGCAGATGGCTATCCATTTGTTTTACAAATCCAGTGCCTTACTTTACTTTAATTTGAATTGGCAGTAATTCATTCAATTAATATTAAATTGTTGCCCTGGCTTTTTGCCTTTGTTTTAGGGTGTGGGTAGTATATACAGACACAGTGAGCTTCAAGAAAACAGGAAGAATTAATACTGAACTGAATGGCTTCACCCTGACCTTTAGCGTGGTCAACTTTAACATGTTCCATTCTTCCATTTTCTTTGAAATGATCTGTTTTCTTTCCAGTTCTACAGAATGGACTTAAAGAAAATTTTGCAGATGTCCAGGCTTCTGTAGTGGATTGTCCTGATATGACTCAAGAACCCTTCTGTTTTCCTGTTAAAGGTAACACATGCTATCTGTGACAAAATATTACACATGTTGGCAATACCTTGGTAACATGTGGGCCACCAGGTAGACAGGGACAAAATTGCCAGGACTATTTTTGGAGGGATGGGTTTTCTTTAAAGAATGGAGTAAATTTGCTTAAGCCAGCGGTTCTCAACCTATGGGTCGCGACCCCATTTGGGGTCGATCGACCATTTCACAGAGGTCACCTTGTGTCCGCCTTTTTTATCCCCTTTTCCGGCGGGTGCCTTACCTCCCTTGGACTGGGCCAGCTGGTGGCCCAGCCAGTGGTCGGCCTGCTCCGTCTCTGCCGCTTGCCAGCTACGCCTTGGCCGGCGCAGGGGGTGGCACCACGCATGCGTGGCGCTCCCAGGCAGGGAAAGTCCCCGACTTACGACCGGTTGGGTAGTCCTCGACTTACGACCGGTTTAGTCCTCGACTTACAACCGGTTGGGAGTCGCGGCATTAAAAAGGTTGAGAACCACTGGCTTAAGCCAAGACTGGGTTATGCAACCTAAAGAGCCCTTGTCACATGCCTTAAAATACTGAATGCTCCTTTCAAAAATCCTATTTTTTCCTACTTTCGAAGGACTTCAAATTTCACAGAACAGCCCCACTTTTGTCATTACATCACAGGGTTGCTGACCATGTCTCCCTGTGATCTTGTGTAGGTTGGAAGGATGCTATGCTAAGTGATGGTTTGCTTTAGCTATAGTTGGTTATACAAGCCACTATTGCCTGGTTCATAATACAAACCCACAATAATTGGATTAGAGGTCTACTAAACGCGGATTGCTTTATATTGTTTTGGGTTAGTCAAAAAAAATCTGGAAAAAAATTAATTCGCCCCCTTTTTTTTTTCTTCTTACAGGTATTTGTGGCAAGCCTAGAATAGCAGATGTGGGAGGTGTTCCATATCTTTTACCACTTGTTCAGAAAGACAAGGTAAATAAAATGTGGCCCACTTTTGCACCCATATGCAAAGGTTTTGAGATTTAGTCATTCATCCAATAACCTCCCGTTTTGACCAGAAACAATAATTCCCATTTTGGGAGGTTGGAATGGAATCAAAT